CAACTCTAATCCCAGCATTTGTGAGGCTGAGGATGCAGGAGTGCTCTGAGTTCAAGGCCAACTCCGGCTACACCGAGAGAAACGGTTAAAAAAAAAATAGCTGAGCAGCAGTGGCGCACACCTTTAGTCCCTGCACTCGGGAGGCAGAGGCAGGCGGATCTCTGAGTTCGAGGTCAGCCTGGTCTACAAAGGGGAGTTCCAGGACAGCCAGAGGAAACCCTGTCTTGGAAAACCAAAAGAAAAAAAAGAAAAAGAAAAGGCAAGGTATAATGGTGTTTATCTGTAACCACAGCATCAGAGAAACCGAGGAAGCAACAGGAGTGCTGGGGGCTTGGGGCAAGCCGAAACAACAAGCTAGATCCTTCTTTAGGGGAAAGTTCTTGCTCCTGTCTGAACCCCAGCATTCGGGGGACAGAAGCAAAAGGATCCACATGAGTTGTCTTGTCAGCTTGGACTACAGCTCGAGCTCAGGCCAGCCAGGGCCACACTGTAAAGTAAGACCTTGTCAAAGGGAGGGAGGGAGGAAGGGAGGGAGGGAGGGAGGAGGAAGGAAATGGGAGAGCTAGTGTGATGGTTCTGCCGGGAAAGACACCTGCCACCAAGCCTAATTAATGACTTGAGTGCCAATCCCCAGGACCCACGTGGTGGAAAGAGAGAACTATCTCTCCCAAGTTGTCTTCTGACCTATACAGCACACACACACACACACACACACACACACACACACATCACAAATTAAAACATAAAAACAAAGAAACTGAAGTAAATAATTTGGGGCTCTGTGGTCCTGGGAGCCCAGACTCCTTCGGGTTCTAAGCTTTGAAGGGCTGGGTTTATGGCGACCCAGAAGCCTTGCAGTCTGGGCCCCTTCCCCACACCCAGCTCATCCTTGGTGCTCTCTCTCCCCTCTCTCTCTCTCTCTCTCTCTCTCTCTCTCTCTCTCTCTGTCCCCCTTTTCCCTTGTGGCTCCCACAGACATGATGCAAGCCGGCTGGAGCGGGCTGAGAGGTGGGAGCAGGAGAGAGATGTAATTACAGCTGCTTCTGCCTCCTTTCTACAGGAAGCTCGGAGTGGGGGCCCAGGGGACCCTAATCCGATGCAAATGTAGAGAGCACTTGCCAGGCTCACACAAGACCTCCTGGGGAGGAAAGCCCAGCGAGCCACTTCAGGAGACTGAGAGTCCCGGCTCCATCACCAGAAATGACGGACTCTGAAATGGGTCTAAGGCAAGTCTGAGGAGGGAATGGGTGATTGTGAATTCAGTGGCCATGTGGCCAACTAAATAAGTAAAGTCTGTTTTTTCCCTGGTTTTGTGTGTGTGTGTGTCTGAGTGTGTGTGCACACATACACGCATGCATGCAAGGTTGCGTATGTGCATGTTCATGTGTAAATGTTTGCTCATGTGTATGCATGTATGCAAAAGTGTGCAAGCATGTCCTTGTGTGTGCAGCAAATGTTTGAGTGCAGGTGCACATATACACATGTATGTTCGCCCATGGAGGCCAGAGGACAGCCTCAGATATTGTTCTTCAAGAATCATTCCCCCCCCCCTTTTTTTTTGAGACAGGGTTTCTCTGTGTAACCCCTGACTGTCCTGGAACTAACTCACTCTGTAGACCAGGCTGGCCTCGAACTCACAGAGATCCACCTGCCTCTGCCTCCCTAGTGCTGAGATTAAAGGGGTGCGCCACCTTGAAGGTTTCAGTGGAAACATTTCCTTTTTTCATTCCACCATCAGTCCTTAAGCAACCCCCAAGGGGAGCGGCAACTCGGTAGCAACTCAGATTCCTTAGCCTACTGTTCTATAGCTGTTCCTCCAGCCAAAGCCATCCTCCTCCTGGGAGGGAGAGAGGCTCCTAAGAAACAGGAAACTTCCCAGCACAGGAAGCTCAGAAAATCACTAAATCCGCAAGGCCCTTCTGCAGCAATATAAGCAGTAAACAGTTTCTGGGGGAAGAAGACCCCCCTTGTGGAGCCGCCTGCGCGCATCGGGTGGGAGCTCTAGGCACGCAGCTGTCCTGAGTCATCACCCACACCGGCGGTGGGTTTTCAGTGATGCGGCTGCCTCTGAGTCACTAATGTTCCTGTAAGTGACCTCCATAAACTCGTTGGTTCCCCAGGCTAGATTCAGGTGGAATCATTTGTCTGTCACTAATAAAACAGACTGTCTGTTCACCGCTGCCTCCCAAGGAAGGGTCACACAGCGGGGACACAAGTGGGGCACGGTGGGAACTTTGTTCAGCTTGAAAGCTCAGAAGCCTTATACAACCCCAGGGAAGGCCAGGCATGTTGACACACACCAGTAATCCTAACATTCAGAGGGCCGAGGCAAGAGACAGTGAGCCTGAAACCAGCTTGGGCTGCATAGCAAAACCCCTTGTTTAAAAAGAGGAGGAGGAGGAGGAGAAGGGGAGGAGGGGGGGAGGAGGGGGGAGAAGGAGGGGAAGGAGGAAAAGGGGGAGGGGGAGTAGGAGGGGGGAGGAGGAGGAAGAAGAGGGGGAAGAAGAGGGGGAAGAGGAGGAGGGGGAGGAGGAGGAGGGAGAGGAGGAGGAGGGGGAAGAAGAGGGGAGGGGGAAGAAGAGGAGGGGGAGGAGGAGGAAGAGGGGGAAGAAGAGAAGGAGGGGAAGGGGAAGAAGAGGAGGAGGAGGAGGAGGAGGGAGAGGGGGATGAAGAGGGGGAAGAAGAGAAGGAGGGGAAGGGGAAGAAGAGGAGGAGGAGGAGGGAGAGGGGGAGGAGGAGGGAGAGGGGGAGGAGGGAGAGGGGGAGGAGGAGGGGGAAGAAGAGGGGGAGGGGGAGGAGGAGGAGGAGGAGGGAGAGGAGGAGGGCCCAGCAGTGGTGGCGTATGCTTTTAATCCCAGCACTTGGGAGGCAGAGGCAGGCAGATTTCTTTGAGTTCGAGGCCAGCTAGGGCTACATAGAGAAACCTATCTTGGGGGGAAAAATTACCCTCAGGGAAGCCGGAAATAAGGACTTTGATGAGAAATCACTTGTGTCACAACCAAATCAAGAACATATTTAAGCATCATCTAGGCCAAAAATAGCCTCCAAACCACAAGTGCAGGCCCATACACACTGCTCCCGAGCGGGCATTAGCAAACAGAGCAGGGATCCTCTGTCCCCATAGTTGAGAAAAAATAGCTGAGTTGGGCCCACAGGACCCCAAATTAAGATAACAGCAGGAGGGGGACAGAGGGGGGCTCACGCATGATTAACTGTCCTCATTTGTTCCTTCTGTCATCTAACCACGTGGCTTTCTTATCCGGGTTCCCAGATGTTCCCCTCCATAAGGAACCCCTCTAAGACCCTCTCCCTAGCTGGGCCAGGAGCTCTCTCTCTCTCTCTGAAGTCTCTCACCTCAGCTCTGCCCAATGGAGGCCAGCATCTAGATTCCCCAGAAGCAGGACTCTCTCTGCCACAGTCACATCCCCAGCTGTGCCTATGACTGTTCCCAGAGCAGCAATCCAGGGACGGTTTGGAAGAGTGGATGGGTGGGTGGATGGATGGATGAAGAACAAGGTCAGTGCTTAAAGACAGGAGTAAATTAGAGGAGGCAGGCCTGCAACCCCAGCTACTCAGTGAAACAACACCACCCCCAGCTCCTCCCCCAAATCCCCCAATGAAGGGCTGGGCGTGGCTCAGTGGTAAATAGCTTGTTTGTCCTAGGTTTGAATCCCCACTACTTAAAAAGTGGGGGATGCTGCCTGGTGGTGGTGGCGCACGCCTTTAATCCCAGCACTCGGGAGGCAGAGGCAGGCAGATCTCTGTGAGTTCGAGGCCAGCCTGGTCTACAGAGTGAGTTCCAGGACAGCCTCCAAAACAATACAGAGAAATCCTGTCTCGAAAAACCAAAAAAAAAAAAAAAAAAAAAGTGGGGGATGCTGGGCACATCGGTGCATGCCTTTAATCCCAGCACTCAGGTGGCAGAGGCAAGTGGATCTCTGTAAATTTGAGGTCTGCCTGGTCTACAGAGAGAGTTCCAGGCAGCCAGGGCTATGAAATGATGTCCAAAAAGTAAAAATAAAAAAAGGAGGGGGGGGGGGTGTTTCTGGAGAGTTTGCTCAGTGCTTAAGAGCAAATACAGTTCTTCCAGAGGATCAGAGTTCGATTCCCAGCACCCACATAGAACAGCTCACAATCCCTCTAACTACAGTTCCAGATATCTGACACCCTCTCTTCTGGCCTCTCTGGACACCCGCCCTCATGTGCACACACCCACACACAGATATACACATATGCATAATTAAAAGAAAATAAACCGTGTTTTAAAAAGTAAGCCAGTTGTGGGCTGGAGAGATGGCTCAGCGGTTAAGAGCACTGTCTGCTCCTGCAGAGATTCTAAGTTCAATTCCCAGCAACTACATGGTGGCTCACAACCACCTATAATGCGATCTGGTCCCCTCTTCTAGTGTGCAAGAAGGACACTGTATACATAATAAATAAAAATAAATCTTTTTTAAAAAATGAAAAAAAAAAAGCCGGGCGTTGGTGGCACAAGCCTTTAATCCCAGCACTTGGGAGGCAGAGATAGGTGGATCTCTGTGAGTTCGAGGCCAGCCTGGTCTACAAGAGTTAGTTCCAGGACAGCCTCCAAAGCCACAGAGAAACCCTGTCTCGAAAAAAAAAATGTAAGCCAGTGGCAGGGGCAACAGGATGTGAAACCTGGACAGATTGTTCAGGGGATGAGCAGAGACCCTTTAAGTTCCCGCCAGGAGAGAGTGCAGGAGATGAGGCAGCTAGGCTACAGGGAGCTTGAAGTTCGTGCCTCAGTCTTGACTTCTCAGCTGGGAAATGGCTATCTTGCAGGTAGCAGCTGTTCCCAAGCTGATGGGAAAACGGAAAAAGGAGCAGGGCTACTCATTTCTTGTGGGGTTACAGTGCCTCGCCATCCACGCTGCTCACACTCGGCACACACTCAGGAAGAAAGAGAAGGGACGGACGCAGGCTCCCTCAAAGGTGCCCTCCCCCCACGCGCTCTGCTCGTGCCTCGGTTTCCCCTAAAGTGCAGGCACCACCAAGTCACCAAGTTTATTGGATTCGTAACTCCGGCGGGAGAGGATAAAGCTGTCTTGAGGGCTCAGAGCAGGGTGCAAAAGAGTCGCTTGTCGCGGAAGGGATTCTCGGCGGCGGGGACAGGGGTCACCAGTGGGTCATCCTTCGCGTGCGCCTCGCAGAAGGCCAGGAGCTCGGCGGCGGCCTGCGACACCTGCAGGCGAGGTGTAGAGATGCAGTTGACCCTCCCTAATGGCTTGGTCCCTGGGCGAGCGCCCAAATCCCCGCCCCGTGTCCTGACCACGCCTTGAGTGGCCACGCCCCCAGGCTGAGCCCCACCTCAGCTCCAGGCTCCTCCTCCTCCGCGGAGCCTGGCGTAGACCCCCCCACCCACCACCAAACGATTTCCCCGCGGGTCTGCTCACCTTCATGCGATCGATGTTCACTTCCAGCTTCAGCTGCTCCACGGTCTTGCGGGCCTCAGCGATCTTGGCCATGTTGTTGGACATGGCTGCAGCAGGAAAGGAGTTAAATGCCTGGCGGGAGTGGGGCCTCGGGGCTGGGACACGTCTGGATCCCCCGGGGAGTAGTGAGAGGCAGTGATGCGACCCAGTAACAGGAGAAGAGGTTGGGACGACGAGCGAATGGGGTCCCAGAGACGGGTAGAGGAAAGAGCGACGACTCAAGAGGAGACAGGAGGATGGAGGGGTGCCCGGATGGGGGTACCTACCCAGAGGCCGCTGGAGCGAGAGCTCGGGGGCCAGGGAAGGAAGGAGGGAGACACGCTTGGGAGACTGCGAGGCAGGCGGGGAAGGCAGGGCCAGAGGGACAGGGCCACAGGTGCTTGATCAGAATCTACTGATCCAGGTGCCCTCACCCCCTGGGGACAGAGCTTGAGCCAGGAAGGGGGGGGGCTCCCCAGGCCAATTAGCAGCGACTCCAGGGAGAACTGAGAATTAAGATCTCGGCGGGAGGGGCGCAGAGGAGGCCTCATTAGGGCCTCGGCAGCAGCTGCCCCCTCTGCCACCCCCAGGGACCCACTCCCGCCCCAGCCGTGGCTACCTCAAAGGCTCTCTCTGCTCATTAGCAGGCAGGGGAGAGGGTTGGGGGCAAGCCAACGCAGCCAGCTCTGCAGAGGGGCATGGAGGATAGAGAAGGGGACAAGAGGAAGAGCCAAGGGGAGGGGAACAGAGTGACAGAAGGAGAGGCAGGCACGGAGAAGGAAGGCAGACTGAGGAGAGATGATGATGGAGGATAGGGAGAGGGAGGAAAAGGGAGGGGGTAGGGAAAGAAAGAGGACCGGGAACGGAGGAGACCGGGGGACAGGAGAGGAGGGACCCAGACGAGGAGGGACATGGAAGTGTTAGAAAGAAATGGAACAAGGGAAGAGGAGAGAGAGGGTGAGGGATGGATAGATAGATAGATGATAGATAGATGATAGATGGATAGATGATGGATGGATAGATAGATAGGACAGAGGGGATGATGGGGACACAAGGAACTATAGTCATTCATTCCTTCATTCACCCATTCTCTCATCCAATCCCAGACAGACAGATGGTGGCCACCAACCAGCTACTGGGACCCGGAGAGAAGCCTCCTACCTGTTGCAGCTCGGAGCTGGGATGACTGGCGGGTGACAGGCTGAGAGAGGCAGCGTCTGGTCCCCTTGCCAGCCCCGCCCCCTCCCCTGGGGTGCAGCCCCTCAGGACCGCCTCCTCTTAGGCACCACCTGTCTCCACGCCCAGGTTTGTCTCTGCGGGTCCTTTCCTGGCTGTGTGTCCTCTCTCTCTCTCTGTCTCTCTCTCTCTCTCTCTCTCTCTCTCTCTGTCTCTCTCCCTCCCTCTCTCCCTCTCTCTCTCTCTGTCTCTCTGTCTTTCTGTCTCTCTCTGTCTCTGCTGTCTCTCTCTCTGTCTCTGTCTCTCTCTCTCTCTGTCTGTCTCTGTCTCTCTGTCTTTCTGTCTCTCTGTCTCTGCTGTCTCTCTCTCCCTCTCTCTCTCTCTGTCTGTCTTTCTGTCTCTCTCTGTCTCTGCTGTCTCTCTCTCCCCCCTCTCTCTTTCTCTCTCTGTCTCTCTGTCTTTCTGTCTCTCTCTGTCTCTGCTGTCTCTCTCTCCCTCTCTCTCCCCCCCTCTCTCTCTGTCTCTCTGTCTCTGCTGTCTCTCTCTCTCTCTCCCTCCCCCCCCTCTCACTGTTTTTCATTCACCCCTGTTTCCAGCGTGTCTTTCTCTGGAGTTCCTCTTTCACACCGGCAGGAAAGGACGACCCCTGTAGGTGTGTATATATTTATGCACGCAGGCCTCTCCTGTGGGTCCCACGCAACCTCCCTCCGGCACGAACAAACCAGTCACCTCAGCATCACCCCATCACGGTGACCCCCCCCCCGACTCAAGTCACTCGCACCGGGGTGCTGACTACCTTGCTGGGCCACCGAGTAGGGCTGCAGTGCTCAACGCCGCCGAGGGTCTCAGCACACCGCCCGCCGCTGTCACTCACGAGGTCTCACAGCACAGCATGCCACGGCCAACGGCAGCTGACGCCGCTGCTCGGTCAGCTCCCCTGCCTTAAGAGCGCCAAATGGGCCCACTGTCATCCACAAGGGCAGCTGAAGCTTCACACCTTTCTCTGCAGCTCACATGCAGTAACTGGTTCAGAGTCTCTGCCAAGCGCTCCATTGCTTGGTGTGACACGGGGCCACACGGTGTCCTTTCCAGGGGTGCCTGTGTGTGGCCACATTTACTCTTGGCCAATTTCCTGATATACATGGCACATAGTCAGTCGTGTCCCGTGTCCCCCCCCCCCCCCGCCAGAGTCACATGTAATCCCTGTCACACCCACACCTGTCTTTTGGTGTCGTACGCTGTTGACATACAACGGCGTGGCGTCTCACACACACGCACACACACACACACGCACGCACACACACACGCACACACACGCACACACACTCTGGCCTGTACGTAGTGTTTGCTGGTCCTCAGTCTGTGTCACAGATGTTTGCACGCTCACACTCTCTCTCCCTCACTCAGCGTCCTCCCAGTCTTACTTTCGAGTCCCCAAACAGTCCCACGCTTTTGCACAGTCACAGACACAGGCGTCTCCGTGTCTCATGACCCGCCAGTGGTGCGGCAGACACACTGTTTCCCCAGGTCCCCCGTGTGCCTCCCTTTCGCATAGCTGGCTCATACCATCACTTGGGTGACTCACTCTGCTCTTGTAACACACCTGAACCCCCTCGCGTATAGTTGCCATCATGGGCAGTCTCCAGAAGTTTCTCTCTCAGACCCAATGCCACACACTCACTCAGACAGTCCCACTCGGTCCCTCCTTGTCAATCCTAATTTCTCACTGTGCCACACCGTCACCGGTCGTCTCCTGGTGTCCCACAGCACGCTGAGGCGTGCCCTCACACTGGCGTGGGTCGCACCGCCTCTGGACATCGCGTGGGACACCACAGCATCACCCTCGCCACCCTCAAAGCCCCACTGCTGGCCACACGGGGGTGCCCTCGAGCCAAAGTCACTGAAGGAGCGCGCGCAGAAGCCGCGAAGACAAGGCATCCCCATCGGCCTTGCCGAAGATAGAAACCGGAGATCTGGGGGGCCCGAGAAGGATGAGAGGGGACATGGGTTCCAACGAAGGCGAAAAAAGGTGAGGGATCAGAAGGAGAGGACAGAGAACTTCAGAGAAGAGGCGAGAGGGGCAGAGAGAGACGGTAAACGAAGTGCGGAGACAGACGTCAGGTACTGGGAGAGGTCACAGGAGACAGACACACAGACTGAGACTTGAAGACAGACACTCAGAGACCCAGCCAGGTCTGCCAAGTGACAAGAGATTCAGAGTGCGCCTTTCCGGCCTGAGCACGCGGCGGGGCGGAGCTGTAGAGGGGGCGTGGTGTGGGTGTGGCCAAGGGCGGGGCTTTGAGGGTGTGTTGGACGGGGCGTGGCCTGTAGAGGAGTGAGGGCGGGGCTCGACGCTCCTCCCCATTCTGGCCGGCAGGGATGCTGCAAGCCTGGGAAGAGGTGGAGTCGGGAGAGGCGTCCCAGGCGCAGACAGCTCAACCCCAGTTCGGTTTTCACCGCTTGCACCGGGAAGCCAGACTGGTCCGAGAAAGATATCAGCTTCTGATAGCTTCCGCCCCCAGTACTGGGGATCGAGTCCAAAGTCTCATACGTGCTAAGCAAGAGCTCTCCGTCCGCGACTCTCTTTTTAGTTTTTGATTTTGAGACCGGCTCCTTTAGTTACGCTAGACAGGTCTTGAATTCATTCAGTGGCCCAGGCTTTGAACTTGGCGACCCTCCTGCCTCGGCCATCCCTAGGGAGCTGGGATGACAGGCCTGAGTCATGCTGATAACTTTTTGGAACTGAGAATATGGGACCCTGGCTCCCTGCCCCCTCCCTCGTGGGCTCATAGGGCCAGGTTGGAAGGAGAATACGGCCCACATCTGGAAAGCATCAGGCGCGCCGGACGTGCCAAGGGCCCCGGGCCGGGGCTGCGGGAGGGGGAAGGGAGCCAAGGAGCTCCCCACACCAGTCGAGCGGTGTCTGCCGGCGCCGAGGAGGGGCCTGGGCTTGCGCCGAGTCCGGCGCCTCCCGCAGCTGGTTTTCATCCCCAGATCTGGCCTGGGGTGCCCCTAAGGAGGAAATCCAGCTTGCTTAATGCTGGAAAGACAGGGTGACGACCCTGTCTCCCGACCAAAGGCTGGAGGGAGGAGGAGGGAGGACAGACGGACACCAAAGATACCTCCAGCTCCCTCCTAATCTACAGACCTCAGCTGCCTCCCCATTATTTAACTATATATCTAAAAGACATATACTTACATTAACTATATATTTGCATTTTGCTTGTGTGTATGGGGAGGTGAGCGCCCGTGCCACAGACTTGGTATGGAAGTTAGAGGAAACCTTGCAGACCTCGGTTCTGTCCTCCCGTCATGTGGCTCCCAGGGTGGAACTCAGGTCCTCAGTGTTGTTAAAACGTTTAGGTTTATCCAGTAAGGAGACACTGACCACGACTCAACGATCCCACGTGGAGTTTATTGGTGGACGGGGAGGGAAAAGGGGAGCAGAGAGAGAGATAAGAGAGAGAGAGAGAGAGAGAGAGAGAGAGAGAGAGAGAGAGAGAGAGAGAGAGAGTAAAGAGCAAGAGCAAAAGAGTAAGAGAGAGGAAGAGAGGAAGAGGAGTAAGAGAGAGTAAACGGGCAGGGGTCAGCCCCTTAAAGGGGTCCTTTGCACCTGCCTGGTTCTCACGGAACTCTGGGCTGGCCAGAGTGTTGCCTGAGCGCATCCTGCCAGGTAACAGGGCAGGCCAGAGTAATGCCTGAACCTTTCACTCAGGCTGGTGGCAAAGGCCTTCCACGGGCTGAGCCATCTCCAAGTCCTTAAGTATTAAGCATCTTAAACTCGTCCAGAATCCAGTTTCTTCTCACAACTTCCCTCCAGCTTCCCTCTTTTCTTGGCTTCCGCATCTGGCCTTTTGCCTCTGGCCCTGTCAGCCTGCTCCGTGTAGAGAAGTCACAAGGCCTTTGTCTTACAAGTCTCAGGGTGCCTGTAATCCCAGCACAGGGGAAGGTGAGTCTGGAAGACTGGAAATTCCAGGATAGCTTGGGCTACATGGTGAGTTCCATCTCAGCTGGTGTCAGACAGCGAGACACACAGCCTAGAAAGGGTGGTGGGAGAGAGGGCTGTGGGCGGGGAGGGGTTGTTAACTGACAGAATGCTTCCCAGCATGCAGGAAAACATGGGTGCCCCATACCGGTGCTTACCTGCAACACCAGTATTCAGCATGGGCCTTAACTACATAGCATTTTCACTTTCTTTTTCTTTTTCAAGATTTATTTATTATGTATACAGTGTTCTGTCTGCATATATGCCAGAAGAAGGCATCAGCTCTCATGGTTGTGAGCCACCATGTGGATGCTGGGAATTGAACCCAGGTCCCCTGAAAGAACAGAAAGTGCTCTTAACTGCCAAGCCATTTCTCCTGTCCCCAAAGATTAATTATTATTTTGAGTATGAGTGCTTTTGTTAACGTATGCCTGTGCATGTGTGTGTCTGGTGTCCATGGAGGTCACAAGACGGTGTCAGATCACCTGGAACTGGAGTTGTAGGCAATTGTGAGTCATCCGGGTCCCCTGCAAGAACAAGAGCTCTAACCACTGAGCCTTACAGCTCCCATAGCAAGCTGAAGCGGACCAGAACAAGAAGAGGCGTCAGGGGACTGGTGAAGTGGCTAGCCTGGAACTCACTACATAGACCAGGCTGGCCACAAACTCAGAGATCCTCCCATCTCTCCCTCCTGTGCCCTGGAATGGGCACTGTCACACTTGGCCTGAACTGTGCACTTCATATGGGTTTTATAGCGTACAAATTGCATTTCAAGCAGGGTGGTGGTGACACACACCTTTAATCCCAGCACTCAGGAGGCAGAGGCAGGCAAATCTCTGTGAGTTCGAGGCCAGCCTGGTCTACAAAGTGAGTTCCAGAACAGCCTCCAAGACAATACAGAGAAACCCTGTCTCGAAAAACCAAAAAAAAAAAAAAAATGCATTTCAATGAGGCTTTTAACTCCTCCCATGAAACAAAACCAAACCGAATCTGACAAAACAAAACAAAAACCAAGTTTCTTTTCTGCCCAGGTTTCCCCACTGTCTTCCATACTTAAAGCTGTGTCTGTGGCTTCAGGGTACCACCCAAGGCCCAACATGGCCAGCGTCCCTTTTACTCTTCATTCCTTTGCCTCTGACGCCCTGGCCTGACTGCTGTCTGCGTATAGCTAGGTGCAGTCTTACCTCAGGGCCTCCGCACAGGCTCTCCCAGACTCCCCTAGACAGCTGCTCAAACGTTACTGTCCCTCCTTCTGAGGGGACAGAATATGGAGACAGGATCTCCCTATGGAGCTCAGGTTGGCCAGCTCACCACGTGGTGCAGCCTGGTCTCAAATTCAAAGCAATTCTTCCGCCTCTGTCTTCTGAGGGCTGCGATAAGAGGCACTCGCCACCACGCCTACCTGCTGCCCTCTTCCCTGGCTCCTTATCAGCCTTTATGTCACCCCCACTCCTGCCCAAAGATCACTTCCTGCGACCAAGGAAGAGGTGAGTATAGCGGACATGTTGAGGAAGTCTCAATCCAGCACGTGGCCATTAGGCCGGTGTGGAATGGGCACACAGCTGTAGCGCCTCAGAAGGCTGAGGCAGGAGGATTGCCTGTCCCAGGCCAGCCTGTCTTCAGATGAAGAGAGTGTGACCCCCATCGAGCACACACCTACAGAGGGGTGGGGAACACACACTTAGTGGTATACACCTACAGTCCCAGGTCTCACCACCCCACAGAGGGAGGCACCAGCATCAAGGAGTTCAAGGCCATCCTCGGTACACAGGGAGTTCAGTGGGCACCCAGGAGGCAGAGGCAGAAGGATCTGAGTTTGAGGCCAGCCTGGTCGACAGAGGGAGTTCCAGGACAGCCAGGGATACATAGAGAAACCCTGTCTTGAAAAAAAAAAAAGTTCATTGGGGCTGGGAGTGGTAGAACTATTTCTACTTATTTGGACCATCACTAAGGACCTGTGAAACCCTGGCCAAGTCCCTTCCCCGTTCTGACCTCAGCTGCCTCTGGGGTGGGGCAAATATTCCCCCGGAGCCTGACAAGCAACAACTCTGGAAAATAACAGCATTCCCAGTCTCCTAGGATCAAAGTCAAGGCCCGCGTCTACCTCCGAGTCCCACCTCCAGCTCCCAGCCCCTACACATCCATCCAGCCATCTACTTACCTAGTTACCTGTCTGAGTTTCATGTAGCCCAGGCTAACTTCCAACTCACTAGGAAACGGAGGAAGACCTGGAACTCCAGATCCTCTTGCCTCTACCTCCTAAGTGCTGGGGTTGCAGATGTGCCCGGTCATGCCTGGTTTCTGGGTGTTCGACCCACTGAGCCCAGCCCGTCTATCATTTTCTCTTACTTATCTCCTCTGTCCCCACAAAGGGGGGCAGGGACACTATTTTGTTCCCTGCTGTGTTTGCCAGAGCCTGGCAGACCTTCCATCTTTTCTCTCAGGGCCACAAGGAACTGAGAGACCCACCCAGACAGATGCACATATCCCGTTCTCCCCACTGTGGAAGCAGGAGGGAATTGACTCTGAACCCTAATTGTCCTAAGGCCTTGTGACCAGGGTTAGTAATGGCCTTTCCAGGTTATCTATTTACCCATCCATAAAATGGGCATAGTTGTTGAACTTATCCAGTAGAAAAATGTGTAAAGGCTATGAACAGGCAAAAAGAGAGAAAAAAGAAAAAGAAACACAAAGGCCAAATTCCACACAGAAGACTGTGCCAAAGCAGAGAAATAGGGGCTGGAGAGATGGCTCAGTGACTAAGAGCACTGGTTGCTCTTCCAGAGGATCTGAGTTCAAATTCCAAGGGATCTGATGACTTCTGGCCTCTGTGGGCATCAGGCATACATGCAGGCAAAACACATATACATAAGAATGAGAAGTAAAAAGAGCAGGGTAGCCGGGCGTTGGTGGCACACACCTTTAATCCCAGCACTCGGGAGGCAGAGGCAGGTGGATCTCTGTAAGTTCAAGATCAGCCTGGACTACCAAGCGAGTTCCAGGACAGCCTCCAAAGCCACAGAGAAACCCTGTCTCGGGGGAGGGGGGGGAAGAGCAGGGTAAGTGTTGGGACACTAGGGAGGCAGAGGCAGGCAGATCTGAGGCCTGGTCTACAGAGAGAGTTCCAGGACAGCCAAGGCTACACAGAGAAACCCCGTCTCAAAACAACAACACAAGTACAGTTAAAAGCAGATCGTCAGACATGCTAATTAACACAGCACCCCCATGAGATTTCCAAATGAACATGACTGCAAGATGTGGTGGGGGCATGCCTGTGGCTCCAGATTCCAGAGGCTGAGGCAGGAGGATCTCTAGCTTCAGGCCAATGTGGGGAATATAACAAATTCATATCTCGATAAGACAGCAGTTGCTCCACTATTATTAAATTTATTTTGACATAGGGCTATACAGTGCAGGCTGGCCTGGAGCTCACTATGTAGCCCAGGCTGGCCTGGAGCTCACAGAGATCTGCCCACCTCTATCTCCCTGGCTTTCCCACCATGCCTGGCTTCTATGTGAGTGTCAGTGGTCCACCCTCAGGTCTCAGGTCCCCACGCTCGCACAGCAGTGGACACCCCGTCCTCAATCTTTTTTTTAATTATTTTTTAAAGATTTATTTATTATTTATGAATACAACATCCTGCCTCCATGTATGTCTGCACTCCAGCAGAGGGCACCATATCTCATTACAGATGGTTGTGAGCCACCATGTGGTGCTGGGACTTGAACTCAGGACCTCTGGAAGAGCAGTCGTGTTCTTAACCTCTGAGCCACGTCTCCAGCCCCCCGGTCCTCAATCTTGATGACCCCTCTATAATTGTTTTAGGGCACGGGAGGCATGCGCAAGCACTGCTCTGCGTGTGGAGGCCGGAGGACAACCTATTAGTCTGTCATTCGCCACCGCACACAGCAGTGGGCTGGCCGTTGGCTTTCCAGGGAGTCTCCTGTCTCCGCCTCTCACCGCTCCATTGAGAGCATTGGGGTCGCACATATCCACTGAACAGAGTGGGGCTTTCCAGGTTTCTGAGGACTAGGACTCAGGCCCTCACCCTGGTGTGGCAAGCCCTTGATCCGCAGAGCCTTCGCCCCAGCCTCGCTCTTGATGACCCGTCATCTTTACGAAAACATAAGGATGTAAGTCAAAGGTCAGTCACCAAGGACACAGCGGCCCTGAAGAGATGCTGAAATCCCACCTGGGACCCACCACCCGGGCTCTGCTCACCGCCGGTTCCACAGCAAACAGAAGGTTTGCTCTTGGTTGGAAGAAGAAAGGTCACGTTTCTCATTTCAACAGGGAACAAGAATCCAGGGAATATGTAACATTGTGCATTTATTTACAAAGAGGTTAGAGAAACACACAGAATCTGGCCCCCCACGCACTGGGGAGTCACCATTGTCATAATAAATACAGTATTTTTTTAAAATAAAAAAACAAACAAATTAAAAAAAAAACCCATGGATTGGAACAGCTTCCCCCACTCCCCACAGGGAGAGAGACGAGATTGAAACCATCTTCCTTCCTCTCTCTAACCTCCCAATCCTCCATAAATGTCCAGGGATGGAGCAGAAAGAGTCCTTTTCCAGGTGTTGGCAACTCCTACGTGACCCTCAAAGCCCCTAAGACAGTGCCACTTCTTCCAGGGCACTCTGCGGGCATAACCTGAGTCAGACAGTCTCTGACCCACCCGGGGGCCCCAGGGGATATCCTAAGGGTCCAGGGACATGGAGGGGGCACTTTGTGAATGAGAAGGGAGCCCTATCTGGGCCAGGAAAAGAGGAATGACAAAGCTATATGAGGGAAATGGAGAGGGAACACACTAAGCTTCTAAACTAAAAGGGAGTGGGGGGGCACCTGAACAGAATTACTGCCTTTGCAAACATGGACATCCATTGTACAGATGGGGAGAGCGAGGCCCACGGAGGGGGCACTTTCTGGCCCAAGGCTTTGAAAACCAGCTGTTCTGGGACCATCTGGGCGCCTCTCAGTGGGGGGAGAGGGGCAGCCTCTCGGGGCGGCCATGGACGGCGGGCAGTGAGTGAGGAGGGTCTTTGGAAGCAGAGAAGACCGGTGGTCTTTGGAAGGTGGGGGTGGAGGGGTGGAGGATGAGAAGCGTGGGTGCAGGGCCATGGAGGTGGGTTCCCAGGCCCCTCCCCTCCCCCCAACTCACACAGTCGTCATGACCTTCAGAGAGCCCGACCTGAAACGCAGGATCTTTTTCTTCAGCGCGTGCGACGCCTTGATCTTCACGAAGACCTTGGCGGGGCCCGCGGGGGTCGCAACACCGGCCGCACCCCCGGGCCCCGACGGCGAGGCCCCTGCGGCCGCCACCAGCTGCTGCGGCCACACGAGGCCCCCGCTGCCATCGGAGTCGCTGGAGGCGGAGCTGAAGGCGGGCGACTCGCCCTCGCTAGCGCTCGACTCGCTCTCGCCGTAACCTCCCCCGGGGCCGCACCCCGACGACGACGGCACCCGACGGCCCAGCGGCACCGGCCGCCCCGCCGCCGAGCACTCGGAGTCGCTGCCCGCGCAGCCGTACAGCAGCCGGCGCGAGGGCGCGGACGGCGAGGGCGCGGGGCCGCGCGGCGCGGGCGCGCGGGGGGCGCGGGCGCGGCGGCTGTCGGGCGCGTCGATCTCCGCGGTGGAGCGCCACCGACGGCAGGCCTGGACGGTGGGCGTGGGCGCGGGGCCGCGCCGGGGCCGGGGCGGCCGGGGCTCGTCGCGCTCGGCCGTGGGGTACTTGGGCGGCGGCGGGGCGGCGTGCGCGCGGCCCAGCAGGCTGGTCTCCGACTGCGAGCGCGCCGCTTTACGCGCCCTCGGCGATCCCCGACGCCCCGACGGCTCGGCCAGGCGGCCCCGACGGCCCGCGGCTCGTGGCCTCTCCCGCGGCGGGGACTGCTCCACGCTGCGACCTCGCGTGAGCGGTGGAGCCCGGCGGCGCGCGGCGCGCCCCGGAAGGCCCCTGGAGGCTGCAGGGGCGCCCGGGATGTACTGGGCCTTCACGAGGCGACCCTCAGCCGGGCTGGAGGGCGGCGAGGCGGCGGCCGGAGGCGCAGGTTCGGGCGCAACCTCCGTCTCCCACGCCGTGGCCCAGGCGCGCTCCGTCGACGGCTCCCGCGCGGGTCGCGCGCCCCCGGGGGGCGGGGACGCCTCGGGCGGCCGCGGGCGCGCGCCGTTCTGGCGCCGCGCGCCCCCGTCCGCGCCCCCGGGACTCGTACGCGGTTGGCCCGCCCCCCGGCGGCGGCGCCTGCGCAGGAGCGCCGAAATGTAGCCGTCCAGGGGCCGGCCGGCCGCCCCGTCCGGGGAGCCGCAGGGCGCGCGTCCGCTGGGCCGTGGGCTGCGCAGCGCCACCGCGTGCAGCGGGCTGGGCGTCAGGAAGGGCCCCGCGCGCGCACGCCGCTCCGCCGATGAGCAGGCCTCGGGGCCCGCTGCTGTCGGGTAGGGAGCTGAGAAGGAGCGAGGCACCGCTGCCCGGGCGCTCACCGACTCTGGGGCGCTGGGGCTGGCGTCACCTGCGGGAGAGAGAAGCAGAGGAAGAGAGAGGAGGGGCGCTCAAAGGCCTTCCTTAGCCTAGAACTGAAGCAGCCCAGGCAGGAGAGGAGGATCGCCTCCGGTTCTGCGCCAGCCTGAGCTATGTAGCGATGGATGGATGGATGGATGGATGGATGGATGGATGGATGGATGGATGGATGGATGGATGGATGGATGGATGGATGGATGGATGGATGGATGGATGGATGGATGGATGGATGGATGGATGGATGGATGGATGGATGGAGTAAAAAATGGATGGATGGATAGATAGATATACAGACAGACAATGGACTTGGTGGTACACCTCTGTGATCCATCCAGGACTGAGGAGGTGGAGTCACTGTGAGCTACTTAACATGTTGGAGTCAACCTGAGCTACATGAGACCCTACCTCAAAACACCCCTCCCACCCCCCCCAAAAGAAACCCCAAGGCCAAGGTGTTCATAGAGGTACATGTTTGCAGCCTCAGCAATGGACAGATGCAGCTACATAGTAAGTTAGTGGCCAGCCGGGGCTACCCCAGAGACTGCCTCAAACAAACAATAATAATTAAATTGGGTGTGGTGGCCCACCTCTGTAAATCCCAAGGCTGGGGAGACTGAGTCAGGAGAATTGTTGCAAGTTCGAGGCCAGCCAGGGCTACATAGCAAGACCCTGTTCCGTCAAATCAGAATAAAATCAAGTCTTTTCTCACCCAGTCTGGATAGGTCAAACTATCTCTCCCTCGTCCTCCCTGAAGACTCTGCCTCACTCATCCCCTCCTGTATGGTTCATGACAAAGTCCCTCACGACCTCCCCACCTGTCTTGCTCTAACCATTGCTCACCCTTCACATTCATATCATCCCCCCCACCCATGGGGTTTCTCTGTGTAGCCCTGGCTGTAATGCTGGGATTAAAGGCAAGCACAAAAATGCCTGGCTGGTGTAGACACTCTTAGGACCCCATTAGCTAAACAGAAGCCCAAAGAGAGATGCTAAAACTACACCAAGACTGCTCCCAGCCAGAAGTGGGAATCTAAAGTGGATCAACTTTATGCTCAAAGCCATCTTCTGACTGTCACAGGGCCCCGCCCCACCCACCTTACCTAGGGACTTGGGTCTCTCACTGGCATAGATGCCCCGGGGGTCCGAGGGACCCAGGCGTCCATAGGAGCCAGATCCGGAGAAGCCACTGTCCCCACAAAAGGTAGAGGGTGGTGAATCTGGACCTCCGGTAGAACTGGGGTCTTCATAGAAGCCTGGATTCCAGAGAGAAGCTAAATCAATTAGGGAGCTGGGGGTGGGGGGGAGAGTCAGGGACTGCTTGAGAGACAGAGGACACTGAGACAGACTGGGGTGTCCTGGAGAGACCCCACCCTGGCCCCAGACTCACCTGAGCTGCGCCCACTCTCCTGGTCCAGACCCCCAGACTCCAGACTCAGGTCCCCCAGCTGCTGGCCCAGGTCCCAGATGAGCCCAGGCAGGGCCTCCTGAAGTACAAGAGCAGAGTGGTCAGAATTCTCCAGAACCCACCAGCCTGCTGTTTATGACTTCCTGGCAGAGATCCACTTGGAAATGTCAGCCCTCTGTCCCTCGTCGCTGTGAGGAAGTCTTTCTGTCTAACTTTCAGCCTTCATGCTGTAGCCCCATCTATGCGTGTTGAAACTCAGGACCCACCTTTTGTTCATTCTTTGCTATCTGTGTCCCCATCTGTGGTCACAGCTCCCTAAGCCCTACTAGAATATTCCTCTTCTGGGGCTGGAGAGTATTGGCTGCTCTTTCAGAGGACCTGGGTTTAATTCCCAGCACCCACAGGGCAGCTCACACAGCCTATGACTCCTGTTCCAGCGGATCTGATCCCCTCACTCAAACATTCGGGTCAGACACCTATGCACATAATTGATGTTGGAGACAAGGTTTCTCTGTGACTTTGGAGGCTGTCCTGGAACTAGCTCTTGTAGACCAGGCTGGTCTTGAACTCACAGAGATCCGCCTGCCTCTGCCTCCTGATTAAGGCGAACGCCACCAATGCCTGGCTAAGCCAGGACTCTTAACCACAAAACCATTTCTCCAGCCCTCCACATCTGTCTGTCTGGCTGTCATCTATCTATTTATCTGGTTTTTCAAGACAGCCTTGGCTATCACAGCACTAATTCTGTAGACCAGGCTGACCTGGAATTTACAGAGAAGCTCTTGCCTCAGCCTTTTGGGTTCTGGGATGAAAGGTGTGTGCCACCAACGCCCGGACTTCTCCAGCTTTTTTTTTTTTTTTTTTTTTTGGTTTTTTTTTTCGAGACAGGGTTTCTCTGTGGCTTTGGAGGCTGTCCTGGAACTCGCTTGGTAGTCCAGGCTGGTCTCGAACTCACAGAGATCCGCCTGCCTCTGCCTCCCGAGTGCTGGGATTAAAGGCGTGCGACACCAACGCTCGGCTCTCACCAAGCCTTTTACCCAACTTCTTATGTGGGTACTGGGGATTCAAACTCAGGTCTTCATGCCCAAGTGTCAGGAAGCTAACTTGGGATATCTTCCTAGCTGCCCCTCATTCACACATAGCCCAGGTTGGCCTTACCCCAGCCCCTCATTCACACATAGCCCAGGTTGGCCTTACCCCAGCCCCTCATTCTCACATAGCTCAGGCTGGCCTCAAACTTGCCATGCAGGGGAGCGTGAACTTGAACTCATGACTCTCCTGCCTATATCTTCTGAGTAGGGCACTGCTGGTGGCAACTTGGGCTGTGAATTTTTATGATAGGTCTTCTGGTTGTGAGAGAGTTCCATGCTAGAAGGGGTGTGCAGGAGTGGGCAGATCCCGGGGCAGCCATGGGGTGGCCTCCTCCCCAGCGTAGACCCTCCTTTCTTAGGTACTTTGCTCTCCCTCGAATGGGCCCTTGTCACCAAAGGGAAGTTCTTATGGAAGTCTCCTCTTAGTGCCTCCTGCTGCAGACTGGCTATTTCATAGGAAATGCATACAGCATGGCTAAGCAGTGGTGGCACATGTCCTTAATCCCAGCACTAGGGCGGGTCTGGACTACAGAGCTAGTCCTGGGGCAGCTAAGGCTACACAAAGAAACACTTTCAAAAATCACACACACACACACACACACACACACGAAAGAAGAAAGAAAGAAAGAAAGAAAGAAAGAAAGAAAGAAAGAGAAAGAAAGAAAGAAAGAAAGAAAGAAAGAAAGAAAGAAAGAAAGAAAGAAAGAAAAAGCGTGGGGCACAATTCACACACCTCATTGCTCCTCCCCCTCAGGAAGAACCACACCCTTTGTGCCTCCTGCAAGTCCTTCTACAAGTCTAACCTTACTGGTGGCTACAGCAGTGATCAGAAACCAAGACCCCCCAGGACTGGGGTGGGGGATGAAGCTGAGTTGGAAGGGTGATTGCCCAGCAGGAAACTAGTTCCTAGTCTTGCATAAAATGGGGCTGGTGGCACAGACCTTACTTAGCTCCTGTACTGATTAGAGGTAGGAGGATAAGGAGTTTACAACCTTCTTTGGCTGCCTAGTGTGTCTGAGGGCAGCCTGGGCAACGGGACCCTGTCTCTACAGTTTAAATTTAAAAATCCAGGATTTTATCTTATTTTGGAAGACAACTCGGCAGGGCCAGGGAATGTCTCACAGGGGGACTGAATGAGACCAGAGACCAGAGGTAGCGGCTGCCAGGGGCAGACGGTTGACCCTCAGACAAAAGCGGCTTGTCTGGCCGGCCGATGGGAGGGCGGGACCAGCATCCAGTCCTGCCTATTTAGGGCAGAAAGATTGGCCTGGCTCTGGGCAGCAGGCACAGCCCCCCACAGCCCCTCCTCCAGGCCTGCCCTCCTCCCCTCCCTGAATAGAAGCCCCCATGTGGCCCTGTCTGTATCAACAAACGCCTCTAGTTGGAGGCTCCTACTCTGGGTATGTGCAGATGCCCATGGCCCCCTCAATCAATCAGCTTTAAGCAAAACCTAAAAAAGAAGCACATAACACAGTATTAGGAAGTGGGGGGGGGGTAGCCACAGGCTGCTGCCAGCATCAATGGCCTGCGTATGCCCCAAGTGACCCAGACCAGTCGGCTGCCTATTCCTGGTTGCCACTGGGAACCTAAGCTCTGTGCTTCTGCTCCCACCCCATCCTAATGGCCGGTCTTTTCTAGTGTGATCCTCCAGTCCACTTTCTAAAATAGTTCCTTTGCCGTTGCCCACTCTGTCACTCTGCCTCCCGACTTTAAAATATATACCAGGGTGCCTCCTGTTGTGTCTCTCACTAGGACAGAGATTTCTGACTGTTTTGTTCACAGCAGCACTCTTCTCCTTTGCTTGGGCTTAGTAAAAAAAAAAGTTCTGATGAAGGGATGAGCACCTATGTTCGTGGTGGAATACTATACAGCTGTTAAGATGGACGGAGGCAGATTTTCTGCAGAGCTATCACTAAGACACAGTACTGAAAGAGGAGAGGAGCGTGCATGGGAGGGAGGAGGTCAGAACCACAGTCACAGGGACACATTCTGATAAATGCATCATCCAGGGACTTCATCATCACAGGGGCACTGCATACAGTGCCATCAGGCAGCCTTCCTTTTGGGGTCTCAGGTAGCCCAGGCTGACCTTGGACTTCCTATGTAGCCAAGGATGGCTTTGAACTCCCAATCTTCCTGCTGTCACTTGCCAAGTGTTCTCGAGTGCTCAGATGAGAGGTATGCACCACTACACTCAGTGGTGACACAATCTTTTGGGAACCACCATCCTACATGCTTGTCACTGCTGATGGCAGTTGGCAAGGGTATTATTAAGCCTGACTGAACCTGGAGGGGCTGTAAAAACCAGTTACTGAGTCCCAGTTTGAGAGCTTCTGGCTATACCTGGATTGGAACCCCAAAATTTGCATTTCTAACAACCTCCACACCTTGTGTCTTCTGTGGTTGGCCACATTTTGAAGACCATCAGCAAAGCCTTGGTACCTCACCCAAGAAACTGGAATTTTAGAAAACAACAAAACCTTTGAGGCAGGCCAGGGGGGTGGGGTTTGAGATAATTCAGTGCTCTGGAAGACAGGAGTATACAAAGTTCAGAGTCTGTCTGGGAATCATAGAAATCTAGTCTCAAGAAGAGGGCTTAGGGCTAGACAAGGTAGCAGAGGCAGGTGGATCTCTGTGAGTTCGGGCCAACCAGGGCCAGAGAGTGAGACCTTGTCTCAAAATGTGAAACTAAATTAAACTAAACTAAACAAACAAAAGGATTGAGAACTTAACTCAGTGGTAGAGTACCTGCCTAGAATCCTCCAGTGAGGGGCTGGGGGTGTGGCTCAGTGGTAGAACCCCTGCCTATAATCACCCAGTGAGGGGTTGGGGGTGTGGCTCAGTGGTAGAGCCCCTGCCTAGAATCCCCCAATGAGGGACTGGGGTCTGGCTCAGTAGTAGAGCCCCTGTCTAGAATCCCCCAGTAAGGGGTTAGAGGCATGGCTCCGTGGTAGAGCCCCTGCCTAGAATCCCCCAGTGAGGGTCTGGGGGCATGGCTCAGTGGTAGAGCCCCTGCCTATAATCTGCCAGTGAGGGGCTGGGGGTGTGACTCAGTGGTAGAGCCCCTGCCTAGAATCCCCCAGTTAGGAGCTGGGGTGTGGCTCAGTAGTACATCACTTGCCTGGCCTGCTCCTAATCCTTACCTCCAGTGCCTGTGCTGGTAAATATAAAAGTAAAGCTTTGGCCAGTGCTCTCCATTTCTTTCCTAGTATACAAACTGTCAGAATGGACTCAAAACCAAGGTCAAATGATGGTGGTCTTCTTAACATAGGGAATCAAAGGAGAGAAGAAGGTCACTGTACAGGCCAATGAAATATGTAAGGTGTGACTTGGTACCCAGTGGCCAAGAGTCAAACTCATCTCTTCCACTGCCCAGCTGTAAGACCTCAAGTAGGTGTCTTGATCTCGCTGGGTTCCCCTCTCCTTGTCTGAAACATGGGCATCATACAACCATGGCTTTCACAACCTTGCAGGAAGGGCTAAAATGAATTAAAAGAGTAGTTCTAAGCCGGGCGGTGGTGGCGCCCGCCTTTAATCCCAGCACTCAGGAGGCAGAGGCAGGCGGATCTCTGTGAGTTCGAGGCTAGGCTGGACTGACAGCCTCCAAAACAGTGCAGAGAAACCCTGTCTTGAAAAACAAAAAAACAAACAAACAAAAAAAGAGTTGTTCTTTATCAGCCCTTTGTAAATGCTGGCTTACATTGTCACAAGAAAGCTCAGAGTATCTACCAGGAATAATTTCAAATACTGCTTGCACAATTAAAAATAAATGTAAAATGATTGATGGGGGATAAATTCCACAGCTATCATTTCAGTTTTTCCAATAGAAAGAAGAGTCAAGAGTTGTGGGAACAGACAGCAAGAGTTCCTTCATCTTTAATTGGCCTGATGCCTTGGGAAACTCCTTCACCCAAACTTCCCCTTACCTTCCTTACCTTCGGATGCCCCTTCATCTATGTTAAGAAGTTCTTCTGCAAATCTAACTCAAGTCCTCCTTATTGGAAGGGACCTTTATCCTTCCGAGGAGCAAATAGGATCCCTCCACATGCAATAGCCATGCCTCTTTTTTCTGAAATGCCTCTACTCGTATTTGACATGGCCACATCACGTCTAGCAGAATCACAGAGTCTAACTTCAGTTTTTCTTGCTTCAAAGGGAGTGTGTTTCTGAGAGATGGATGGAGATGTAGGTTGTCTTATAAGACAGGAGTTCTGGGATCAGAGGCGGCCCCATTCTCTCTTCAGAAGGGCCCAGGAACCCTCAACACCAGAGGGGTTTATATTTAGCGCTTTTCCCCTCCCTCCATCAGCCAGGCTTCTGTCCCAGTCCGCCACCGCCTCCTCTTTGAGGCTGGGTCGAGCCTTGACTGCCGACAGTGGGAAAAGGGTATAGGGGTGGAGAGTGAGGGGACAGTCCTCTCTCCCATCGCCACCTCATGCCAGCAGGGAGGAGTGAGCCGTGAGAAGTGAGCGGGCAGAAAGGCAAACACACAGAGAAGGTGAGGGGCAGAGCGACGAGGGAGGGAGACGAGGCCACTCACTACTGGTATGCCCCGTGGTGCCTTCGCCCTCCCTCTCCTAGTAGGATGGTGGGGTCTGGCAAAGCCCAGGCAGCTTGGGGGGGGCTAAAGCCCCCCACCCCCGTCTGTAACTTTGGGAGGGGGCGGGGCCTCCCACAGCTGTTTCTGCTTCGAGAAGAATGTAAGGTCCCACTCCTGCACGGTCAGGCCGGTGGGGGTGGGGCCGGGCGTCTGGCCTCAGCCCCCTTTCCCCACTTCCCATCTGGGGAGGGGGCAGCCGAGGTCAGCAACAGCCAGAACCCCCTCCCCACCCCCACAGCCTTGGCTCAGGTTTCCCTAAACGGGAAACTCTGACCACACACACACACACACACACACACACACACACACACACACACACACACACACACAGGGGCTTAGGAGACCGGGATGGGCCAGGGGAGAGGGCTGGGGGAAGGGAAGAGAGACGGAGACAGTGGGGGAGAAAAGCACTGAGAGCCTCGGGCCAGGCCACGGCCCCGTCCACCGCTGATGTCTGCTGGTTTTGGAAGCTAAGCAGGTCTGGGAAGACCATAGAGACAGGGACAGGGTTAAGAAAAGGAAGCAGAGGTGCGGTGGCATGGGAAGGTGGGAGGGACACCGGAAAGGGTCTCCAGACTCAAGCAGGGATACAGGGAGGGAGGCAAAGCTGGGGAATCTGAAAGTCATCACTAGACCGCCCCGAGAGTCAGATACAGCCCCCCCCAAGCTACTTTCTCCTGGCCTCCCCTATGGAACTGAGGCAGGGGACCAAATAGAAGAGCGAAATGTCATCAGGCTGATCGAAATGCAAATGTCCCGGGGCTTCTCAGGGACTGAGAGCTTCTCAGCAGCGGGTCCCTCCCTCCAGAGGCCCGCAGATTCCCCTTCCCCCACCCCGCCCCCTCCAGGGATCTCCAAGCACCCCGGGGACTTAGGGGAAAGATGGAGCCTGGGTAGCGGGGGGCCCAGAGGGAGGTTACATTTGAATGCCGGCTGTGTGACCTTGGGTGAGTCTCTTCCTGTCTCTGAGCCTCAGTCTCTTTCTCTGTAAAATGGGGACTCTCAACCCCTCATGAAATGGGAAGACTGTAAGACGCCAAGTGTTCGGCTTGACACCCACTAGGCGGCCTGGATGGTTAACAGGATCCACGCGGAGGGTCCAGTGGAGGCCGTGCATCCTCTCCATCAGCTCGATTTGGGGGTGGGGGAGACCAGGTCTCCAGTCTTATCTCTCCTTCTTTTCCCTTGCCTGCTCCCCCACCCTAGGACCTGAGCAGACAGTGCCGAGACGGACAGACCGACACACGGACAGGGAGGTGGGGGAGCGGGTGGGGGAGGGAGGGAGGGATGCACGGATGGACGCACGGACAGGCGACCCCTCACCAGCTGCTCCTCCAGGGCCGCCGCGGCCCTGCGCGCCGCTGCCGCATCCTCGTCCTCCTCGGCGTCCTCCTCGTCCTCAGCCTCGGTGCCCCCCATCCCGGGCTGGGCCAGCCGCAGCGCCTGCTGCACGCGGTACTCCTGCCTCTCTCGGAGCCAATGCAACTCGCAGAGCCCGGCCAGGCTGCCTTCCAACCATCCCCGCAGCCGACCCCGCTCCGGGCTCACCGGGAACGAGAAGGCCCGGATCATGGCTGCGGCCCCCCGCCCCAGCCCGGCCGGGCCCCACGGCCGCCCCTCTCGCCGGTCCCACCTCCCCGCCCCAGCAGCCCGCCCGCCCGCCCGCCCGCTGGCCGGGCTGTCACCGTCTCATCTGCATAGGCGCCCGCCCATTGGGCCGCCCACCCGCGCCTCATCTACATTGGCCACGCCCCAGGAGGCGCAACAACGGCCGTCTATTGGCCGGTGCCTTCCGTGACGCAGCGCTCCGCCCCGCCCCGCCCCGCCTCCACAACGCATGCTCGCGATTAGCTACGGGAATCAGACTTGCCACGCCCCTTCGTGCGCCGACTGAGGCGCTGTGGCCACGCCCTCCACACGTCACAATAAAACAAGCCCGCCCTTACTCCGATTCCATTGGCGTCCGTCGCTCGGATTCTGGATTGGCCCCGCCCTCTTGCGGGAGAGCTCTAGCTGCTATTGGACGGTACGGGTCGAGGGGACGGGAGGGCTATAAATAGAGACTGGATCCACGTGACAGCCCCGCAGCTGCTCCCGCCGCCCCGCCCGAGCCTTCAGCTCCTGAGTCTGCGCAGAAGGAAGATGTCAGTGGAGATGGAATCCGGCTCACGCCTCCTCTCCCAAGCAGCTTTCCCAGGCACTCAGAAGTAATCTTACGATACGATTATGCTTTTAAGCAGGACCGGCTCAAACCGGCTCTTTGATTCCATCACAGGGGAGGCTAAGGCAGAGGGAGAATTAAGAATTAAGAGTTCGAGGCCAGCCTGAGCTACATAGTGGACCGCAAGCTAGTCTGATTGCACTGCGAGAAGCTAGCCCGAATTACACAGCGGTTTCTATCTCACTAAAACAACACTCTTCTGAAATTACCAGACCCGGGATGAAATATTGTGTGATTCAACGAGAACAGAATCTGAGGCCTTTTGTCTCCCAGGTGCTGTGGCGCTGAGTTCCACCAGTCTGAGATGGCAGGGGCTTTTGTTCCCGCTTCTGAAAGGCTTTGTTCTCAGTCTTCTGAGATGCTCTGTTCTCAGCGTGCTGTGGTCCTGAGTCTGAGCCACTCTGCTTCCCTCCGCTGGGCAAGCGGGGCTACCGCCCCCTCACGCGGCCAGCCTGTGTCACTACACCCAGTGTGTCCGCAAAAAAACCCATTTCTCAGACGGACCTTGAACTCTTTACAAGCTGCAAAGAAGACGGGCGACGCACGCCATTAATCCCAGCGCTCGGGAGGCAGAGGCAGGAGGATCTCTGTGAGTTCACAGCCAGCTAGATCTACAGGGTTCCAGGACAGCCAAGGCTACACGGAGAAACCCTGTCTCAAAAACCAAAACTGCAACCCCCCCCAAAAAAAAACAAAACAAAACTCAGATCGGTGAGGAACGCTGGGGCAGGAGAGTCGTCGTGAGTTCGAGGCGAGTCTGGGTTATCTATGCGAGCCTGCCAGAAAAGAAAAACGGCAGTGTGAAACCTTCCATCTTTTAAGATCTCCCCTGCTGTAAGCGCCGGGGATGTGGTGGGTCTTAGTACTGCCACTTTAAGGCTGAGTAATGCGAGGAAACGTACATAGTTTCACCATGTCTCCTTTTCTTCATCTTATCAAGAGAGTTATTCTGAATGTTAAATGACTTTATTAGGTTTTGTTTTGTTATTTTTGTTTTGTTTTGTTTTTCCCGTTTTAAGAGTCTAAGTAGCCCTGCTGGCCTGGAACTCACTGTGTAGACAGGACTGGCCTACCTCAGTCTCCCCGCCCCACAGTGTGTACATTGAAGGTGTGGGCCACCACACATGCTCATTTATTAAATTTTTTGGAGCATTGACTTCTACCACTCATAAAGGATTGGCCATAGTGGTTCAAGCCTGTAACACCAGCACTGAGTCTGGAAAGACAGCTCAGTGGTTTAAGAGTACTTGCTGCTCTTCCAGAAGATCTAGGTTCAATTCCTGGCACACACGAGGAAAAAAAATTCACAACCCACTGTAACTCCAGCACCAGTGGATCTGCTGCCCTCTTCTGGTCGCCTCAGGAAACTGCACTCTAGGGCACAGACACACCTGCATACACATAATTTAATTAGATCTTATATAAGATACCATACATAAAAATAAATAAATAAGTAAATAAATAAAAATGTCTGAAGAGATGGCTCAGAGGTTAAGAACACTGGCTACACTTCCAGAGGGTCTGAGTTTGATTCCTAGCAACCACACGGTGGCTCACAACCATCCATAATGAGATCTGGTGCCCTCTTCTGGCGTATAGGCACACATGCCGGTAGAACGTTATGTACATAATAAATCTTTAAAAACAAACAAAATTTTTTCACGGTTCCAAGTGTGGTGGCTTAGGCTTTTAATCTCAATACTCTAAATGATGAGGCAGGAAGATCTAGCCTGGGCTACATAGCAAGACCAAATGAAACAAAGACTGGGCATGAGGCTCAGTGGTAGTGGATTCATCTAGAACCCACCAGTGAGGGGCTGGGGGCATGGATACAAACTAGAACCCTTGCCTAGAATGTGCCAAGTACTGGTTTCAATCCCAGTACTACAATAATAATGAATAGTAAGTGAATAATCATGTTCAGATGAATCCTCAGTTCATTCTTAGCTGTGGGGGATGAAGGCCAAAAGTCAGGGTGACCAAGCAACTGGAAAACTGGGCAGGGGTTCAGAACTTAACAGGACAGCATGATGACCCACACCTTTAATCCCAACCCTGGAGAGGTAGAGGCGGTGGATCTCTGAGTTCGAGGCTAGCCTGGTCTACAGAGTGAGTTCCAGGACAGCCAGGACTGTTAACACAGAGGGAAAATAAGTGGATGATGTGGGACACTTGAACCCCTCAGGCTATTCCCCTCAGGCTATTCCCTTTCCCCTTCCCCACAGCCTCAGGGCCAAGACGAAGCTTAGGTGTTCCCCAGACAAGCCTGCCCATGCTCTCACACTGCTTCAGGCTGCCCAAGCTCTTTTGTTCCCCAACCCCGCCGGGGCCAGGATCAGCACTACCCCCAGGACTGCCCTGAGTGTCTACACCATGGCAGCGGGGCCTGAGATGTCATGGTCACCACTGCGTAGCCCGTATCACTCAGCACAGTGACAAAAACGCTCAGGCGTGAAGGATCACCTGTAGTGTGTCAAGAAGTCATTGCTACAGAGAGGAAAATACTAAGGCTGGGAAGACAGTTCAATGGGTAAATGCCATGAAAATGTGAGGAGCTGAGTTCAGTTTCCTGGGACCCATGCAATGGCTCCACACTCGTCATTCCATGCTGGGGATTGGACACAGGAGGATTACCGCAGCGTGACGGCCAGCCAGCGTAGCCAATCAGTAAGCTTGAGGTTCTGCAAGAGACCCTGTCTCAAAAAGCTAAGTGGCTGGCAAGATGGCCCAAACTAAAACGTAATAAAAACTAGGTAGAGGATGATAGAGGAACACACATGATATGGAGTCTGTGTCCACACACGCATACTACGCTCACACATACACACACCACACACACACACACACACACACACACACACACGCACAAACTGCACGGAACACACATGATATGGAGTCTGTGTCCACACACGCATACTACGCTCACACATACACACACCATACACACGCACAAACTGCACTAGCTGGCACTTGGTGGGTGCAACGCTTGCCTGGTATTTGCAAAGGCGAGGGCTCCACCTCCAGAACCTCAAAGAGAAGGAGAGGAAGGAGGGAAGCCTTTGACATCCTCATGATCTGAATACAGTAAGAGTTGCCTGGAGGAGCTGTCCAGCGGTTAAAGAGCTTGCTGCATAAACACAGGACTGGTGTTGGGATCCCCAGAACCCATGTAGGTGCTCACGCGAGTGGCAGCCTGCCCATAACTCCAGCACCTTGGAAGGCAAAGATGGAGGACCCCTGGGGCCAGCTGGCTGGATATATACTAGCCTAACAGGGACATCCTGCTTAAAGAGGCTGGAGAGAAGGCTCAGTGGTAAAGGAACGGGGCCGCATGCGCATGTGTGGAGGTCAGGAGATGGCTTTGGGAGACAGTTTTCCCCTTTACGCTTTGAGCCATGTCACCTTTCTGTATTGTATTGAAAGAAGGGCTCATGTATCCTAGGTCTCAATGTAATTTTTGAAAGGGTATGTGAGGCCGGGCATTGGTGGCGCACGCCTTTAATCCCAGCCCTCGGGAGGCAGAGGCAGGTGGATCTCTGTGAGTTGGAGGCCAGCCTGGTCTACAGAGTGAGTTCCAGGACAGCCTCCAAACCTACAGAGAAACCCCATCTCAAAAAAACAAACAAAACAAAACAAAAAAAACACCAACAACAAAAACAAAAAAAAAGGTATGTTGCCAAAGATAACTGAACTTAATTTTTGCCATTGTGTGTGCGAGCGTGTGCACACGTGTGAGCAGCCGGGTGGCTGGTATGTGTTACACTGTAGCTGACAACTTCCCAGAGTCAGTTCTCACCCCAGCTTTAGATGGCTGGGTGAGGCTCGCACGCAACACTCTGCAAGCACATTTACTCACTGAGCTGTCTCAAGACGCTGTGAGGACATTGACTCCCTGGGTCATTTCATCTGCCCCTGAATCTCAGTGTTCTAGTCCCCCTGCTCCTACACCTGCAGCGTTATGACTGGGACACTGACCTTGCCACATACTAGTTAAATGTCCTGCAGCTGAGGCAGGTCCCCAGCCTCTCATTGGTGGGTTTTAGGACAGGGCTCCAATGGCTGACCCTCACAGGTACTTATGACTTAAGATAGGCGTCTCAGGCTGATGACTGCACCCATTCACCTGTCATGAGGTGGCGTCTCATCATGTAGCCCAGGCTGGCCTTGCAGTCACAGACCTGTGCTGGGATCAAGGGTGTGTACCACCGTGCCTGGCCCGTGTGAGCCGTCATTTTTAGCATTGTATCTGAACTCTTCCTTCTCTAGGTTACAAACCTTCCCCCGTTTCTGGCACACGTGATGCCCCCCCCCCCAGTGGTTTTTTGGTTTTTTTTTTTTGGTTTTTCGAGACAGGGTTTCTCTGTATTGTTTTGGAGGCTATCAGTCCAGCCCAGCCTCGAACTCACAGAGATCCGCCTGCCTCTGCCTCCCGAGTGCTGGGATTAAAGGCTTGCGCCATCAACGCCTGGCTCCGTGGTTTTTTTTTTTTTAAGATGTATTTATTACATATACAGTGTTCTGCCAGGAGAGGGCACCAGATTGAATTGTAGATGGTTGTAAGCCACCATGTGGTTGCTGGGAATTGAACTCAGGACCTCTGGAAGGGCAGTCAGTGCTCTTAACCTCTGAGCCATCTCTTCAGTCCCGGTTTTTTTTTTAACTTGCATTGATGTTTTGCCTGTGTGTCTGTGTGAGGATGCTAGATTCCCCTGGAACTGAGTTACAGGCAGGTGTGAGCTGCCACGTGGTTGCTGGAAATTGAACCCAGGTCCTCTGGAAGGGCTGTCAGTGCTCTTAACCACTGAGTTCTCTCCAGCCTCCCCTCTCTTTACATTTCACTCCAGGGAGTTCCTCTCCCCAAACTCTTCCCCTTCTGCCTAGCTCCCTACCATCTGTAGCACTCACTTTCTTGTTTTTGTTTTTGGAGACAGGGTTTCTCTGTATTGTTTGGAGGCTGTCCTGGAACTCGCTATCCTCGAACTCACAGAGATCCGCCCGCCTCTGCCTCCCGAGTGCTGGGGACTAAAGGTGTGCACCACCAATGCCCGGTCACTTTCTTGCTTTTGAGACAGGATTTTTGTTGTTGTTGTTGTTGTTTTTGTTTTTTTGTTTTTCGAGACAGGGTTTCTCTGTGGCTTTGGAGGCTGTCCTGGAACTAGCTCTTGTAGACCAGTCTGGCCTTGAACTCACAGAGATCCACCTGCCTCTGCCTCCCGAGTGCTGGGATTAAAGGCGTGTGCCACCAATGCCCGGCGAGACAGGATCTTTCTAAAAGATCATTTTATTTTATGTGCATTGGTGTGAGGGCATCAGATTCCCTGGAACTGAGTTACAGGCAGGTGTGAGCTGCCATATGGTTGCTGGGAATTGAACCCAGGTCCAGCGGAAGGGCAGTCAGCGCTCTTAACCACTGAGCGATCTCTTCAGTCTCCGAGACAGGATCTTAACAGCCCATACTGGGTTGGAACTCACCAAGTACCTAAAGATGACCTTGAACACTTCTCCTCCTAACTCCACCTCCTGAGGGAGCCCTGGAATTACATTCAAGAGCCACCACAGAAAAGATTGCTTTTGAGACCAATTACCTTCTATAGCCCTCAGCCTCTCCAAGTGCTAGGATTATAGACACACATCACCATGGCCAGTGGGAGCCTCATATTTTAAAAAGCACATTCATTTATTGTGTGTGTGTGCATGTGTGTGGGCACTTGTGGTGGTCAGAGGACAATTCTATCCTTCAAACAGGTAGGTGTGTCTCAGAAGTCAAACTCGAAGTTGTCGGGCTTAGTGGCAAGCGTCTTTACCCACAGAGTCATCCCTCCAGCCTTGGAGCCTCCTCTTCACACAGTTCTTCTATTGGGCAATAGCCTTATGAATCCAGGGCACGGCCCCAGGAAGTCTATTTCAATGACTGGAAACACAGAGTGCTCTGGTGACTGACACCCCACTCCCCAGTGTCCCTGAATATTGCCTCATCCAGTCTGTGTAGAAGGCTGCTTCCCCTAGAACAGTTCGCTTCAGAGATGGTGCTCAGGACTCCAAAGGAAGCTGCCCCGAGGGGGATCTCTGGCCTCAGAGGATGCTGATCCGTTCAGCAAGCCCCTGCATCTCGTGGTCCTGCGGCAGAAGGGCGCCACCCAGGTCTCCTGCTGCAAGCATCTCCTGGCGCTCTGTCACAAACTGATCCCAGCGCGCATCGTCACTCTCGTGCGTGATATATCGTTCGCCCATCTTTCCCTCCAGCTCTCGGAGGTCAAGCCACGTCTGGTACTCCTGGGCCGGGAAGAACTGGGTTAGCTTGGCCACCCCACGCTAGGCAGAGTACTGCAATCTTAGCAACAGCCCGCTGGGACCAATGAGAGTTAAAGCATCACGTCCCGCAACCTGCCCAGCCAATGGCGGCACAGCCCCATCACCAACCACACATCCAGCCAATTAAAGAGCCAGCTCTGCGGCTTTCTCCATACGTCACCTGTAACCAGGGGTGGCTGAGAGACTTGTCCACACTGTAGCGCTTGCGCATCTTCACCTGCAACAGGTTGTTGATGAGGTCGATGGCTGCGGGGGAAGGAGACAGTCGAAGACCCGCTGGAGCGGCAGGTGGCTCTTTCCGGCAGGGCACCCCACCCTGCCAGCCTTAAAGGAATCTCTTCTCCAGCACTGGCCCAGGTGACCAAACACTTATCCCTGCTTTTCTCATTAAATTACAAATCTTGCCACTCATGCCGGCCCACACTGGTAATTCCAGCACTTGGGAGGTGGGAGCTGGAAAGGCAGGAGTTCGGGGCCAGAGCCCGGGCTACACACGGCGATTGCTGGGATCATAAGCATATGCCAGCATGTCCAGCTCAAATTTTTAAAATTATTTTTGGATTGGTTGTGGAGGTCCACGCCTTTAATCCCAGCACTCGGGAGGCAGAGGGAGAGGCAGATTCGTCTCTGTGAGTTCAAGGACAGTCTAGGATACATACTGATACCCTGAATCAAAAAACAAACCAAATGAAACAAAATTTATTTATATTAAGTATCAAAAACCAGCTGGGCGTTGGTGGCAAAGGTCTTTAATCCCGGCACTGGGGAGTCAGAGGCAGGCAGCCTGGTCTACAGAGCCGAGTTCCAGGGCAGGCTCCAAAGCTGTCTTGAAAAATCTTAAACCGAACCAACCAAAATTTATTTACTTTTATTTATACGTATGCATGTGTCTGTGGATGTGAATGAAAGTGCCCTCTTAGGCCAGAAGAGAGAATCAGAGTACCCTGGAGCTGGAGATACACAGGTAGTTTGTCAGCAATCTGACATGGATGCTGAGAACTGAAGTCCGGTCCTCTGCGTGAGCTGCAAACAGTCTTTTGGTTTTGTTTTGTTTTTTTTCCGAGACAAGGTTTCTCTGTATTGTTTCTGAGGCTGTCCTGGAACTCGCTCTTGTAGACCAGGCTGGCCCTGAACTCACAGAGATCCACCTGCCTCTGCCTCCCGAGTGCTGGGATTAAAGGCGTGCGCCACCAACGCCCGGCGCTGCAAACAGTCTTAACTGCTGAGACATCGGTCCAGTCCTTCTAGCTCCAGCTTTGTTTTATTTTTCTTAATTTCTTAAATAAATTTTCATAAAAATCATTTTTAATGTACGAGTGCTCTGCCTGCATGTATGCTGCAGGCCAGAAGAGGGCACCAGATCTCATTACAGATGGTTGGGGGCTGGGAATTGAACTCAGGTCCTCTGGAAGAGCAGCCAGTGCTCCTAACTGCTGAGCCACCTCTCCAGCCCCCAAGCTCCAGTTTTCAAAAGAATACTTTTTGAGGTGAAAACATTTATTTCCAATGGAATCCTGGCATCACAGGGCCCAGCGGGGAGCTACCAATAACATGCTATGGTGACAAAATGAAAACCAATTCCTGCCGCACACTGCAGTCACTGTCACCTGCAGAAGACCCAGTGACAGGCCCTGTCTTTGTGAAAAGGAAGAGGACTGAGGGGCAGCGGTTCAAGCCAAGGCCCCGTGGAGGCTTTGTCATAGGCAGTGCATTTTGAAGGACAAGGCTGCTCTGTGTGGGCCCACGTAAGCCTACGGGCAATATCTGCAGGGATTCCATGGATACCAAACTCCTCAGACGCGCAAGTCCTTTATATAAAACAGCAGAGCATTTGTGTACAGCCTCCACACACTCTCCCTGCTTGCTTTGAACCATCTCGAGACAACTTAAAACGGTGTTCTTGTTACATTGCTATGGAGGGAACCTAGCTCTTCACAGGTACTGAGCAAGAGAATTTCCACTGACCTGGTCACACCCCCAGCCCCTCACTGGGGGATTCTAGGCAGGGGTTCTACCACTGAGCCACACCCCTGCCCCTTACTAGGGAATTCTAGGCAGGGGCAGGGGTTCTACCACTGAGCCACACCCCTGCCCCTTACTAGGGAATTCTAGGCAGGGGCTCTACCACTGAGCCACACCCCCTGACCCTCACTGGGGGATTCTAAGCAGGGGCTCTACCACTAAGCCACTCCCCCAGCCCCTACCAAGGGCATTCTAGGCAGGGGCTCTCTAACTGGATCATACCCCTATCCTCCTCACTGGGAAGTTCTAGGCAGGGGCTCTACAACTGAGCCACGCCCCCCAGCCCCTCACTGGAGGATTCTACATGGGAGCTCTACCACTGACATATGCATTCACCCAGATTTCTTTTACTAACACAGTGGATTGTTATGTAAATAACTGTTGTTCCCTGTTGCTCAGGGAACAATGGAAACAAAGCCTTACCAGGCTCTTCCAGCACCAGCCTGTGATCCCAGCGTTTGGGAAGTGAAGGCAGGAGGAGTACAAAGTCCTCTTCAGTTATTTAGTTCAAAGCCAGCCAAACCAAACAAGCCCACCCATGGCTCTCATCCTACCCCACCCCTGACCCCAAAGCTCCACACCTCCGGGTTCATCTCCCAGCCCCAGTGGCCAGGTGACAAACTTGTCTTGAGACCCAGAGCCACTGTTGGATGTCTGACGACAATATCAAAGTTTGCCAGGCCCCGGATCTTTCTTCCCTCAGAAAGCATCTCTTTGCTGCAGTCCCACAGCCACACCCCTAGACTGTGCTGCCCTGTCAGTGGACAGAGTCCAGCTCCAGCCAATGTTTAGAGAGGGTCTGCCCATGCGCAGGCCACTCAGGCTTCCTCTGGTCCCATTCCTCTCAGGGCCCTGCATGGATAAACTACAGCCCATTCTCAAGGCTCCAGGTGTCTCTCTTTGGAGTCCCAAACCTCATATGATGGCCAAAGCTTGAGTCTCAGCCAGGTCCGGTGGCTCTCAGGCCTGTCATCCCGGCTAAGTGAACTACAAAATGAGCACAAGGCCAGTCTGGCATTTTAGTGAGACCCCTGTCTCAAACTAAAATGCAACAAAGAGGCTAGGGATACGGCGTAGCTGTAGAGCACATAACCATCATGCATGAGGCTCTGGGCTCAATTCCTACAGTTGCCAAAGAAAAATAATACATCTGACATGGCTGGAGAGATGGCTCGGTGGTTAAGAGCACTTTCTGTTCTTGTAGATGACCTGGGTTTGGTTCCCAGCACCCACATAGTAGCTCACAACCATAGGGACTCCATTTGTAGGGGATCTGATGCCCTCTTCTGACCTCCATCACCAAGCACACATGCAGGGAAAATACTCACACACATAAAATAAAGAAGCCGGGCACTGGTGGTGCACACCTTTAATCCCAGCACTCGGGAGGCAGAGGCAGGCGGATCTCTGTGAGTTCGAGGCCAGCCTGGTCTACAGAGAGAGTTCTAGGATAGACTCCAAAGCTACACAGAGAACCCCCCCCCCCAAAAGACATGAAGACCAACCTGGGTCTGGAGGAATTGCTCAGTAATTAAGAGCACGGGCTACTAGATGACCTGGGTTAGGTTCCTAGCACCCACATGGAGGCTCACAACCATCTGTAACTCTAGTTCCGGAGGATATGACACCCATATCTGACCTTCAGGGACACCAGACACGCACATGATGCATATACATGATGCATCTACATACAAGCAGGCAAAATATCCATACACATGAAATAAAATAATAACAACAAAAGAGAGAGAAGAAAGTAAGAAACCAAAGAGATGGCCATCGCTTAAGAGCACTGACTGAGGGCTGGAGAGATGGCTCAGAGGTTAAGAGCACTGACTGCTCTTCCAGAGGTCATGAGTTCAATTCCCAGCAACCACATGGTGGCTCACAACCATCTGTACTGAGACCTGGTGCCCTCTTCTGATGTGTACATGGAGGCAGGGTTTTGTATTAGTAATAAATAAATAAATCTTAAAAAAACAAAACAAAGAGCACTGACTGCTTTTCCAGAGGACCCTGGTTCAAATCCCAGTACCCACACGGTAGTATCATAGAGTCTCAAGTTACCATGACACCCCCTGGGTACCAGAGTGTAGTACCCACAAGGCACCTGCCCCTCCAGGGTTCACTCTCTCCACCTGCCTCTGCCTCCCGAGTGCTGGGATTAAAGGCGTGTCCTACCAATGCCCGGCCAGGGTTCACTACCATAGCTCTATTACCATCTCTGGGCCCACCCGCAACAGCGTGTTATAGTTCTGCCCACCCAGGCCCAGCTTAATGGAGCCCTTACAGTGCCGCCCAGCTTTGTAGAACCCCTATAGTCCCGCCCACCCAGGCCCCACCCACCCAGGCCCAGCTTAATGGAGCCCTTATAGTCCCGCCCACCCAGGCCCAGCTTTGCCCCAACTCTCTTGGGGACTCACCTACTAGGTGTGGCCTCACCCTGCTGCACCGCCCCCCCCACCCATTTAACACCCTCCTCAGGCCCCATGCTTACAGCCCATGAAGCCCAAGGCCTCCCTCCCTCCCACCTTCTTGCTCCCCAGGCTGTCTGCGGAGGCTCACCTCCAGAGGAGATGTGGCTCCAGGGGCTGGCTGGGTACATGAAGGCCGCGTTCTGGATCTGGTCATTGATGTCCTCGTCCTCATTGAAGGGGAACGTGCCACTGAGGCTGACGTACATGATCACACCCACGGACCACATGTCCAGCGAGCGGTTGTAACCCTGGTTGAGCAGCACCTCGGGCGCCAGGTAGGCGGGTGTGCCCACCACCGAGCGCCGGAAGGACTTCTCGCCAATGATGCGAGCGAAGCCGAAGTCGCACAGCTTCACCTGCGGAGGTGACAGGTGAGGGGTGTGGGGATGATGACGTCACCTCCCCCACCGCGTGTCCACACCACCACTGCCACCTCCGTCTTCCAAACAGCATTGAGGGCCGGCTCAGATCCAGGATTTGACAATCACTATCTGAGTGATCTCAGGTAAGTGACATCCCCTTTCTGTGCCTCAGTTTCCACGTCTCTAACACAAGGAAGAACAGCACCTGTCTCAAAGGGCTATCACGGGGATGACATGAGCGAGTTAACCCACATGCTGCTCACTGAATAAATTTCTATTAAATGCTCCCTACAGCCATCTGCCCGCCTCCTAGGGTGGGTTGCAGCCTCCGAATGACCCTTTGTTGATGGTCCCTACTGGACAGGTGGGTGCATGAACTGAAAGAGGGAATATAGGCAACATTCTAGAAGTTTTGTCCAGCTGGAATGGGCTCTGATTCCTCCACACTGAGAATGGGTTAACCTCTAGGACTTTCTGGGATTGAAGACGACCGGGCATGCAGGAGGACCTGCTGGTGCAGGCATGTAATCTCAGCAACGAAGAGGCAGAGCTCGGAGGATTACAAACTCAAGGCTAGCCTGGATGATTACAGACTGAGTTCAAAGCCAGCCCAAACAATTCAGCTTAATTTATTTCTTAATACAGAACAAACACAAATTTTAAAAAAAGAGCTGGAGAGATGGCTCAGTGGTTAAAAGCACTGACTGCTCATCCAGAGGACCTGGGTTCAATTCCCAGCAACCACATGGCAGCTTACAACTGCCTGTAACTCCAATTCCAGGGGACCTGACACCCATGGTGAGACACCAAGGCACATAAAATAAACTGAAAAAAAAAAAAAAAAAGACCAGGCTAGGGAGGCAGAGGCAAGTCTCTGTGAGTTCAAGTTCAAGGTCAGCCTATAAGTAAGTTCCAGAAAAAAGGAGGAGGAGGAAAGCCGGGGGTTGGTGGCGCACACCTTTAATCCCAGCACTCGGAAAACAGAGGCAGGTGGATCTCTGTGAGTTCGAGGCCAGCCTGGTCTACTGAGCGAGTTCCAGGACAGCCTCCAAAGCAACAGAGAAACCCTCGAAAAACCAGAAAGAAAAAAAAGGAGGAGGAGGAGGAGAAGAAGAAGAGGAAGGAGGAGGAGGAGGAGGAGCAGGAAGAGGAGAAATCCTGAGCATGAGAGGTTTTCCATGGAAAATACTGAGCCCTTGTCTCAAAAATTAAAAGGGACTGGATTCGCTTAATGGTACAGCACTTGCCTCAAACTTCCCAGTGAGGAGCTTGGGGTGTGGTTTGGCAATAAAGCCCTGCCTAGAGGATTTGGGGGCCTGGTTAAGTGGTAGAGCCTCTCTCTGCCTAGAATCCCCCAGTGAGGGGCTGGGGTGTGGCTCAGTGGTAGAGCCTCTGCCTAGAATCCCCCATCGAGGGGCTGGGGTGTGGTTCAGTGGTAGAGCCTCTGCCTAGAATCCCCCAGTGAGGGGCTGGGGTGTGGCTCAGTGGTAGAGCCTCTGCCTAGAATCCCCCAGTGAGGGGCTGGGGGGTGGGGTCAGTCGCAGAGCACAGGCCTAGCATGCGCATGGCCCTAGGTTCCACTCTTAGAAAGTGAGAGAGGCAAAGGGGATGTGAGGGAGGACAGGTGAGCCATTTACCCTACTGAGTCAGCGAAGGGAAGGGATGCATCTATCTCTTGTACCTCTTGTCTTTTTTCTTTTGCTCTAGCTACAGCATGGACCGTGCAGTACCGCCAAGCTGTCTTAAACATGACATCAGGGAAGAGAGTATCGAACGCCATGCAGTATCTTTGCGGCCCCAGAATGCGTAGGCCAGACGCCATCAGGGAGGGATCGAGCCCCTGTCTTGAGAAGCCACGTCACCTAGGGTCTGAAGCCCACCTGCATCTAGACTGATAGCCACTGCCCACCCCCTTTCCGTCAGTCTAGGAAGGGACATCACTGACCTGAGGAAATGGATCAGCCGAGGCCAGCAGCACATTCTCCGGTTTCAAGTCACAGTGGACGATGTTCTTGAAGTGCAGGTGTCTCAAGGCCACCAGGATCTGAGAAGAGGAGGCCCGGACAGTGAGAAGAGGAAGGAGAGAGCCAACCGTGATGTCCACAGCCCTGATCCCTACCCAGATCTTCCCATGAACCCCTAAGGATGCTGCCTGGGTGAGGGAGGCATTAAGGCAAGAAACCTTGAAACTATAGAACCATTTATCCCCAAGAGTTAAGAGTCTGATACAGAATTCTAGAAAGACCCAGCTCAGAATCCTAATGAGCTATTAAAACATCGGAGACACCCAAAACACTTCCTTCGAGTGGTTCAATTAAAAAATAGTTTGATGCCTGATGTGGTGGCGCACACCTTTAATCCCAGCACTTGGGAGGCAGAGGCAGGTAGATCTCTGTGAGTTCAAGGCCAGCCTGGTCTACAGAGTGAGTTCTAGGACAGCCAGGGCTGCACTGTAAAACCCTGTCGCAGAAACAAAACAAAACAACGAACAACAGCAGACCTTGTTTTGGTTGACAAGATGGCTCAGCACGTAAAGGAGCTTGCCCCTAAGCTGGAGTTCAGTCAGTGCCCTCCCTCCAACTCACATACTCACACTCTAAATTTAATTTTTAGATTTGTTTGTTTGTTTCTCTGTGTAGCCCTGTCTGCTCTGTAGACCAGGCTGGCCTCGAACTCACAGAGATCCACTTTGTCCCTGTCTCCCGAGTGCTGGGATTAAAGGCATGCGCCACCACCGCACTGCCTCTTGTTTTATTTTTAAGACAGGGTCTTATGTATCCCAGGCTAGCTCCAAACTCACTATGTAGCCAAGGTTAGCCTTGAACTGACTGATCCTCGTACCTCTTGGGTGCTAGGGTTACAAGCCTGCGGTCACCGTGCCCTGCTGAGCTCAGGGCTTCATGATACCTACCTGGAAGGGTGGTGGCGGGATCTAAGTAAGTCCCTGAGGCAAAAAACTGGGTCCAGCACTTAGAGGAGGTGGAGAAGGCATGAGCCATGAGGACAGAAATCTGGGGGGGGGGGGATGAGAGAGGGAGGGAGAAAGAGAAATAGAGAGAGGGAGAGGGAGAGAGATGAAATGGGAGGCCAGAAATACTTTGGTTGCTGAACGCACTTAGCTCCCTCTTCCTCACTTAGGGGATACTGCTCTCATCTCCATCTCCCAGCATGCCTAGCAAATCCAGGCATATGATGGGGGGGGCACAGGGACGGAGCAGCCCCAAAGTACAGCGTGGAAAGCCTTGTAGCCAACAGAAAAGCTGCCCCAGAGTGAAGGGAGTTCCAGTCAGAGGGGGAGTCTCTCTCAGGGAGAGTGAGACCACACCAGGAACTGCTGAACACCACAAGGGTTCAAAGCCCTCGGTGAATGACAGCCATGGGTGGAGCGATGGCCTCGCTAGCAGGCAGAAAGCCCTGGGTTCCACCCCCAGAACTGCATAAGGCGGACACATCGTGGTTCACGCCTGGACCTTAGCACTGGGGAGGTGGAGACAGAAAAATCAGAAATTCAAGGTCCTCATTGACCACACAGCAAGTTCAAGGACCGCCCAGGATGTAAGAGACCATGTCTCCAACAACAACAGCAAAAGGAAAAACGAAAAGAGAAAGAGCAGACACCTTTAATACCCCACTCGGGAGGCAGAGGCAGGCAGATTTCTTGTGAGTTTGAGGCCAGCCTGGTCTACAGAGTGAGTTCCAGGACAGTCAGGGCTACACAGAGAAACCCTGTCTAGAAAAACAAAAACAAACAAACAAACAAAAAAGAAAGAAAGAAAAAAAGGAAGGAAGGAAGGAAGGAAGGAAGGAAGGAAGGAAGGAAGGAGCTGTAAATAAATATTGGGATGGAGGACTGAGTAGACCTGGAGACGGCTCAGAGGGTAAACGCACTGCCACCAAGCCTGACGACCCGAGTTCAATCCCTGGGATCCACGTGGTGGAAAGAGAGAACCAGCTCCTGCAAGTTGTCCTATGGCACTCAAGCTGTGGCACAGGCGTGCCCACACACATATACAAACCCACCCAGCCAATGTCACAGAACACTCAGCAGCAAGGACAATGGCCTCACATCTATCATATATAAAGAGCACTTATAACACAGTAAGTGTTCTACGTCTGTAAGTCCACTTGTTTGAAAGCATAGGCAGAAGCACTACTGCAAGTCTGAGGCTAGCCTTGTCTAAGTAGAGGGTTCCAAGTTGTTTGAAAGCATAGGCAGAAGCACTACTGCAAGTCTGAGGCTAGCCTTGTCTAAGTAGAGGGTTCCAGACCAGCCAAGGATACATATTAAGACCTTGTCTCTAAAAAGTAACACAAGCAAACAAGAGGTCTGGGGAGACTGTTTTGTGGTGAGGACCACTATATCTGCTCTTCCAGAGGATCAGGGTTAAGTTTCCAGCACACACATGCTGGCTCATAACTCAAGTTCCAAGGGAGATCTGATGCCCTCTTCTGGCCTCCTCAGGTACTGCACACACCATACAAGGTGCATATACATACATTAAGGTAAACACTCATGCACATAGAAAATAGTTAAGTCGGCCACAGTAGCCCATGTATTTAATCCCAGAACTGGGGAAGCTGAGGAAGATGGATCTCAATGAATCTAGGGCAACCTGGTCTACTTAGTGAGATCCAGCCTCTAAATAAATAAATACATAAAATTTGTTTTTGGTTTTTCGAAACAAGGTTTCTCTGTAGCTTTGGACCCTTCCTGGAACTCTCTATAGACCAGGCTGGCCTCGAACTCACAGAAATCCACTTGTTTCTGCCTTCCAAGTGCTGGGATTAAAGGCCTGTGCCACCACTGCCTGGCTCTCAAATAAAATGGTTTTTAAAAAGAACTAATTTAACATAAAACAGAAAAAAAACAAAAACCCAAACTTGAGTGCGTGGCACACCCTTGTGACCCCGGAAGCAGGAGAGACAATGCAGGACAGTCATGTGAGGCAGGCATCAGGCCCATGGGATCTTCTTTCAAAAAAGCCAAGAGCCCATACGAAATCTTGCGAGCCTACCAATGATTTTTATCCTGCATTAGTAAGAGGTGTGAAATCACACATCCTCCCACTTGGTTGATGAAAACGTTTTAGACAACGAACATCATTTTTTACTTGTTGAGACAGGCTCTCAAGTAGCCCAGGCTGGCTCTGGACTCCTGATCTCCCTGCCTCCACAGCAGTCTGTGCCAACATGCCCAGTTTATTTATTTATTTCTTTTGTTTTTCGAGACAGGGTTTCTCTGTGGTTTTGGAGGCTGTCCTGGAACTCACTTTGTAGACCAGGCTGGCCTCGAACTCACAGAGATCCGCCTGCCTCTGCCTCCCTAGTGCTGGGATTAAAGGCCTGCGCCACCAATGCCCGGCTTACATGCCCAGTTTATACTGAAGCTCTGACTCAAGGCTAGGTGCTTGCTAGGCGGGCAAGCATCTACCAATGGAGCTAACGCGTAAGCTGCCTAAGTGGACCAGAACTTAGCCCTGGAGCACGAACTGGCTTTTTGCAGCCCATTCCCTATGATGGGATACCTCGTTCAACCTTGACGCAGGAGGAGGGACTTCGTCCTGGCTCAACTTAATATGCCAGGCTTAGTTGACTCTCCATGAGGGGCCTTAACCTCTCTGAGGAGTGACTGGGGGGCGGGGGGGGGAGGTCAGGGGAAACAGGGAGGGGGAGGGGAGGGGGAACCATGGTTGGTATGTAAAATGAATAAAAAATTAAAAAAAAAAAGAGTAGGTTATCTAAAGGTATATTCAAACTGCCCCACAGCTCTGGCCACACAGCCGGTGAGAACTTGGGCACAATGGAGCATGTTCCTGCTTCCAGTACTTGGGAAGTGAAGGCAGGAGGAGCAGGAGTTCAAGGCCATCTTTGGATGCATAGCAAGTCAGAGGCCAGCCTGGACAACAAGAATAAATATATCTCCATCAAGGGATGTGGTCCCATTCTCTTTGTGGTACCCGCAAAGCCTGTATAAACTGGGGATGCAGGTACCCGGCCATTATCCCAGCACCAGGACCCGAGGTTTGGCATCATACTCATCTACATAGTAAGTTCCAGGGTAGCCTGGGCTACACAAGATCCTGTCTCAGAAAAGAAAATGAAGCCAGGAGTGGTGGTACACACCTTTAATCCCAGCACTCAGGAAACTTATTAGGTGTTGTCACCCACATCGGGCAGGGCTGTCACAGGAAGACTAGCTATGATCAATAATGTCATGGTGTTTACTGAGCCCTCACTGTAGTTTCATTTTCTTTTCTTTTTTCTTTTTTTCCTTTTGAGATAGAGTATCACAACGTAGCTCTGACTATCCTGGAACTCATTATGTAGACCAGGTTGGCTTTGAACTCAGAAATCTGCCTGCCACTGCCTTCCAGGTGCTGTGATTAAAGGCATGCGACACCACACCTGGCTTCTGTCCTTCCATAATTTATATCTTATTGTTATTAACACAATTTCCATCTATTTCTCTAACTCTTGACTTCCCAGGGCACCAGCCTGTTCTCCAGGCGTCCGCCAGAGGGCGCCAGAGGCCGTGGCGCTCAGCATACCTGCGTGATGAGGAATTTGGTGAGGCGCTCAGGAAGCCGGCCCTTCTCACTGGAGAGGATCATCTCCAACATGTCCCCGTGCAGTTTCTCCATCACCACGAATACCTTTTCAGGGGTCTCGAACATGCATTCGAGGTTCACAATCCCGGGGTGCCGCAGACTCTGTCCAGCAATGGGGACGACGGGTCAGGACTGAGGGTCAGCATGTCAAGAGATTGCAAGCACTTCAAGGGTCTTTGCGTGAGAACTTATGGGAAGGCCTGGGTTGCAGAAAGGTACAGCAGGACGCTTGGGGAAGCAGCAAGCTGTGCTGCCTTGGTTTCTATTTGACTGACTGTCTTCTGGTACTCATGCATGCTGGCAGGAGCTCTACGGCCAATCCCCTAGCCCGTAAGGTCTTACTGCGTCTCCCCAGGTACCTTTAGAAGAAAGCCAGTATCTGTCCACCCTCCCCCTGGCCTCATTTTTTCCATGACTCTAGGGTTCCGTGTCACCTGCCCAGGCCGAGCGTCACTCAGATCTGGTCAGAACACGCCTCAGTTCCGGCATGTTACATCTCCTCTTCCAGAAAGCCTAACTTGATCACCCCTAGCCCGTGGCTCAGGCTGCACTTAAAAGGAGCAAGCAGGAAGGACAGGCTCTTCACATGCAAGGGCACGGCTGGGCCACCGTCCCTGTGAGTCACCTGCAGAATGGCCACTTCATTCCTGAGCTGGCTCTCCTGCTTGGTGGGGAAGCGCAGTTTGTCAATGACCTTTACTGCAACGTCTCTGCCAGTCTTCCTGTGTTTTCCTGAGGGCGGGGCATAGGAAAGGTGAAGGCTCAGAGATCCACACCTCCCGGTTCCTCCCACCCCTCTGCGGAGACCCAAATGGAATGGAGTGAAGTCGTTAGAGGCCTTCAAAGTTTGTCTGAGGGATTCTCAATTTGACAGGTGGGAGGGCAGGGCTGGTGAGTCAAAGTGGGAGGGGCAGGGGGTTTGGCTCAGTGGTAGAGCCCCTGCCTAGAATCTCCCAGTGAGGGGCTGGGGGAGTGGCTCAGTGGTAGAGCCCCTGCCTAGAATCCCCCAGTGAGGGGCTGGGGGTGTGGCTCAGTGGTAGAGCCCCTGCCTAGTATTCAGGCTGCCTTGGGTTTCACCTCTAGACAAAGAAAGGCAGAAGAAAGATAAATGAGCTAGGCATGGTGGCACAATCCTGTTATCCCCAGCATTTGAAAGATCCAGGCAAAAGGATCAGAAGCTTGAGACGACCCTGAGCTGCAAATTGTAGGTATAGAGAAAAATGCAATAAGGACAATGCACATTCTATACGGAGAGATACCTTGCTCAGCCTAGACACGGGAGGTGGGGAGGTACCTTGGTCCTGCCTCAACGAGGTGATAGGACAGACTTAGACTTCCTAGGGAAGTCCTTACCCCCTCTGAGGAGGAGATGGGGGGTGGGGTGGGGGGAACGGGAGGAGAGGAGGGAGAGGGAACTGGGATTGTAATTTAAAAAAACAAAATATTTTTTTAAAAGGGCAATGTAAAAAAGCTAGCCGTGGTGGCCCACGCCTTTAATCCCAGCACTTGTGAGGCAGAAGCAGATGGGATTTCTGAGTTTGAGGTCAACCTGGTCTATAAAGTGAGTTCCAAGATAGCCAGAGCTACACAAAGAAACGGGGGGGGGCACGAATAACACGGATACACACTCAGAAGCCAGGATGTACATCTCCTGTACTGGGTGGTTTTGTGTGTCAACTAGAGTCATCGGAGGAGGGAGCCTCGGCTGAGGAAATGCCTCCCTGAGATGCAGCTGGAAGGCATTTTCTCTTTCAGTGATCAATGGGGGAGGGCCCAGCCCATGGTGGGTGGTGCCGTCCCTGGGCTGCTGGTCCTGGGTTCTGTAAGGTGGGCTGAGCAAGCCATGGGCAGCCAGCCAGTAAGCAGCTTTCCTCCATGGCCGCTGCTATCAGCTCCTGCTTCCTGGATCCTGCCCTGTTGGAGTTCCTGTCCTGACTTCCTTCAGTGATGAACAGCAATGCTGAAGCGTAAGCTAATAAATCCTTTCCTCCCCGCAAGGCTTTTTGGTCATGGTGTTTCGTTACAGCAACAGAGACCCTAACTAAGACGCCTCCTATTAACAGTAGGCAAAAAGTCCGCTGGTGCCGGGCGGTGGTGGCACATGCCTTTAATCCCAGCACTCGGGACGCAGAGGCAGGCGGATCTCTGTGAGTTCGAGGCCAGGCTGGACTGATAGCCTCCAAAACAATACAGAGAAACCCTGTCTTGTAAAAACAAAAACAAACAAACAAACAAAAACAAAACAAAACAAAACAAAAAAAAAAACCAGCGATTGGTTTTCCTGATGAGAAAAGGAAATCCCTGTACCCGGGGTCCAGCGTCCCAACCCAAACAAAACAGGAGACAGACAGCAAGGAGGGAGGGCATGCTGCCACCTGACCCCGGGTGGCCTCTGGACCAGGCCTGTGGCATCCTTACCTCCATAGACCACTCCAAACTGCCCGGAGCCCAGCACCTCATCTGGGAAGATCTGGTAGACAGTGGCGATGTCCTGGGGGTGGAGACAAGCAGGGTCAGGGGTGCAAATTGGAGAGAAAGAGGGTCAAGGAGACAGCAGACTGGGAGGTTGGAGGTCGGCCGAGAGCGGAAAGATCTGATAGTTCTGTCGGCGGAAAGATGGTCCAGACCAGGCTGGCCTGGGGCAGGGGGGTTTCTTATAATGGAGGTGGAAAGACCCAGGCAAACAGCGAGCGGTCCCATTCCCCAGCTCTGGGTCCTAGACGGCAGTGTGGAGGAGAAAGTGAGTTGGGCGGCAGGCAGGCAGGCACGCATGCCTTCCACTCCGCTCCTGACTACAGATGTGGCCAGCTGCCTCCAGGTCCTGCCCCCTGACCTGCCTGCAGCGATTGGCCGTCTTCTGAGCCCAAATATACCCTTCCTCTCCTAAGCTGCTATGAAATTTTTTAGTTTTTTTTTTTTAAATGTATATAGTGTTCTGTACTGCATGTTTGCCTGCATGCCAGAAGAGGGCGCCAGATCTCATCACAGATGATTGTGAGCCACCAAGTGCTTGCTGGGAGTTGAACTCAGAACCTCTGGAAGAGCAAGCCGGTGCTCTTAACTTCTGAGCCATCTCTCCAGCCCCTAGGTTTGTTTTATTTTAAATTTGAACAAAACCAACATCTAAGTTTTTAATCTCAGTAAAATTTTATTTGTTTGTTTGTTTGTTTATTTACTGGCTTTTGAGACAGGGTTTCTCTGTGGCTTTGGAGCCTGTCCTGGAACTCCCTCTGTAGACCAGGCTGGCTTCGAACTCACAGAGATCCGCCTGCCTCCACCTCCCGAGTGCTGGGATTTGTGTGCCACCAATGCCCAACTTTATTTTTAAACTTTATATGCACTGGTATTTTGCCATGAGTATTGGGTCCCCTGGAACTGGAGTTACAGACAGTTGTGAGCTACCATGTGGGTGCTGGGAATTGAACCCAGATCCTCTGAAAGAGCAGCTAATGCTCTTAATCACAGAAGCCATCTCTCCTGTCCCCTATATTTTATTTTTCATTTACTTTAAATATGTATATGCGTGAGCTGGAGAGATGGCTCAGAGGTTAAGAGCACTGACTGCTCTTCCAGAAGTCATGAGTTCAATTCCCAGCAACCACATGACAACTCACACTTGTCTGTAACATCAACTTTTGACACCCTTACTCAGACAAGCATGCAGGCAGAACGCCAATGCACATAAAATAAAAATGAATAATTTAAAAAAAAAGCCAGGAGTTGGTGGCACACGCCTTTAATCCTAGCACTCGAGAGGCAGAGGCAGGTGGATCTCTGTGAGTTCCAGGCCAGCCTGGTCTACAGAGTGAGTTCTAGGACAGCCTCCAAAACAATACAGAGAAACCCTGCCTTGAAAAAACCAAACCAAAACAAAAAAACATGTGCAGGCTGCTGAGTGGGCCAGGAGAGGGTATGGGGTCTTCTGGAGCTAGAGTTAGACAGTTGTGCTACCCAATGTGGGTGCCGGGAATCAAACCCTAGTCCTGTTCAGGGCAAGTGTAACTGCTGAGTCATCTCTCCAGCCCCCCAAGCTGCTTTGAGCAGCCGATTTTGTCGTAATGACCTAAAACAGATTAAGACAGAAGGACGGTGCCCCACGGTGGCAGGAGACTTACCACGTTCTCTTGGATCTGACTGTTGGACACAGAGATACTCAGAGAAGCTCGTCCTAGGAGGGGAGACGGAGAGAGTGGGCTCCAGGCTTAGTCACAGTTGTCCCCTGTACCTCCCAAGGCCACACTCTGAATCTTAATTCCCTCATCTATAAAATGGGAAATACAAGAGTCACCAGGGGAGGGGGGAGGGGGCAGGGGCAGTAAACCAGATGTCCCAAGACACTCCAAATGGGACCTCGCCATCCTGAGCCTAGCAGTTCACCCAGTGTCCTCAGTGTCAAGGAAGGGAGCCATGCTGACCCCATTTAACGGAGCAGGAAACTGAGGCTGGGAGGGGCAGTCGCGATGGATTTCAGCCCAGCTCCCCTGGACTCCACCCCATCACATTACAAACCCAACTGAGGCGTTTCCGAAGTCCAGCTCCTTCTGTCACTCACATGATTTTCTTCCTCATCACCCCTCCCCACCCCCCAACAGCCCCACCTAGACTATGGTTCACCAAGCCCACCTTCAACCTACCCCAGACTCTCCCTTGTTTCAATGTTGCCCATTTCCTCCCCTCCCGTTTTTTAGTTTTTTGAGACAGGGCTTCTCTGTGTAGCCCTGGCTGCCCTGGAACTCACTCTGTAGACCAGGCTGGCCTCGAACTCAGAGACCCACCTACTGCCTCCTGAACACTGGGATTAAAGGTGTGCACCACCACCCGGTCCTCTCCTCTTTTCAAAACATTTTATTTTTACCTTGAGGTAGGTGTGCGAGCGTGCGTGCGTGTACGCGTGCGTGCGGCATGTACGCGTGCGTGCGTGTGTGCGCGTGCGTGCACGAGCGCTCACACGAGGACAGCTGTACAGGAATACAATTGTCCACAGAGGCCAAGAGAGGGCATAGGATCCCTTGGAGTTACAGGCAGTTGTGACTCACCCAACGTGGGTGGTGGAACCGAACTCGTCCACTGTCCAAGTAGCAAGTCCTCTTAACCACTAGGCCATCTCTCCAGCCCCTCCCTCCCCTACTCTTTCTTCTCTATAAGAGTCTTGTGCCCAGCCGGGCGTTGGTGGCACACGCCTTTAATCCCAGCACTTGGGAGGCAGAGGCAGGAGGATCTCTGTGAGTTCGAGGTCAGCCTGGTCTACAAGAGCTAGTTCCAGGACAGCCTCCAAAGCCACAGAGAAACCCTGTCTCGAAAAACCAAAAAAAAAAAAAAAAGTCTTGCTGTATACCATGCCCCAGTTTGGCTTTGAAATCACTGCTCAGCCCAGGCTGATCTCCAACTCACAGCAATCCTCCTGCCTCCACCTCAAAAGCACCGGAATGAGTGTGGTGTGTCAGGCAGTGGTGGGTGGTGCACATCTTTAATCCCAGCACTCGGGAGGGATGGGCAGGTGGACCTCTGTGAGTTCGAGGCCAGCCTGGTCTACAGAGCGAGTTCCAGGACAGCCTCCAAAGCCACAGAGAAACCCTGTCTCTAAAAATCAAAAACAAAAGAAAAAAAAAAAAGAGTAAGTATGTGTGGTGCTATGTATGCCTGACTCAACCCCGTCGTTTTCTGTGTTTACTCCCCACTCAACAAAGCCACACGGACCCTGTTAAATACAAACCTGACCCTGTCACTCCTCTATACACAACTCTACCACACCTCTCGGTACCCTGTGGGGGAGGGGGCGGGCGGTGGGAAGATCAGGCCTCTGTGTCAGACACATAAGCTGTGGCACAGACCCACTCCAGGGGCGCGCGTTCCTGACATCCTGGCTTCCCTGTCTCTGGGGCTCGGCGCAGAAAGCTCTCCCTGCCTCCCGTCTTGGGTCCGCACTGTGCCAGAGACTTGCTTTCTCCAGGAATGTGCCCCCGGCTCCCCAGCGTCTTCACCTCCGTCCTGCCCTACTGACTGGCACGGAAGAGGCACTTGGGGAATTCCCCAGGCTGGCCCCAGAGTGGACCCACCCAAGGTTGGGTCAGGGCTTCGCAGGAGCTGCAAACCCAGGCCCAAGCCCATGAAGCCGTCCTCCAGGCTCGTTCCTTCCCCGGGACACCAAGAATCTTTCTAGTGCCTCCTTCTCCCAGCATCCTGGGTAGGGACTTACTGTGTGGTGTGTGGCCTGGGGCAGTGGGCGCGTCTTGGAGGATAACTGGCATCAGTGCCTGGCGGATAGCCGTCTCCCAACCCCGGACGGCCTCGGTCCCCTGCCCACTCGGCCCTCCTGGGACCCCGCCAGGTGTCTCGCCCACAAAGTAGGTGACATTGGCAGTGATGATCTCGAAGCAGTGTGGGTTGGTGCCCGGGGGTACGAGGCTGAAGTTCTGAGCCGACTCCACTGCAAGGATTTCCGACAGTGGGATTTCCTGGCAGGGAACGGAACTGTCAGTATAGGCTAAGCCTACTGGGCCATCCCTGTAGCTCTCAGAGGACCACATAAAAGCCAGAGTTGGTAAAGACTGGCCTGGTCTACATGAGTAGGCCAGGAAAGGCCTCCTAGCCGTACCCGTACTAATTTTAAGAACACTCAGTCAGCAAGAGACAGAGAACAGCATGTGTGGGACAGTACCGCGGGTACTTGGTAAGCGTTGGACGTATAAATGAAGGGCGTTGATGGGAAGGCTCCGCAATGACATCAGAGGCCATAGAGAGGAGCCTGGATTTTGCTTAAGGAGCCACAAAAAAAGGGTCTGGAGCAAGCAAGTGCACTCCATGGCCATGTGCGGAAAATCCATGAGGGAAAACGAGATCAAAACAGTAGCGAAGGAGGCGGCTGCAGAAGGGGAAGCCCAGCGAATGGGGCAGGCAACACACTGAGGAAGGAAGGCAGGGAAGACGAGAGGAGGAGAGGAAAGCTACGTGACAGCCGGGCTCGGTGGTACCACCCTCGCCACAAGGAAGGCTGCAGCAGTAGGAGACACACAAGTCCAAGGCCAACCTAAGCAACTTGGCGGGACCCTGCTTCAAAAACAAAAAATAGAAAGCGGGATGGGGGCGTGGCTCAGTGGTAGAGCCCCTGCCTAGAATCCCCTAGTGAGGGGCTGGGGGTGTGGCTCAGTGGTAGAGCCTCTGCCTAGAATTCCCCAGTGAGGGGCTGGGGGTGTGGTTCAGTGGTAGAGCCCCTGCCTAGAATCCCCCAGTGAGGAGCTGGGGGTGTGGCTCAGTGATAGAGCCCCTGCCTAGAATCCCCCAGTGAGGGGCTGGGGGTGTGGCTCAGTAATAGAGCCCCTGCCTAGAATCCCCCAGTGAGGGGCTGGGGGTGTGGCTCAGTAATAGAGCCCCTGCCTAGAATGCCCCAGTGAGGGGCTGGGGGTGTGGTTCAGTGGTAGGGTGCTTACCAGGCCTAAGTTGGAACCTAGGTTTGAAAAAGTGTCTTATGCCAGTGGTGGCGCAGCACTTGGGAGGCAGAGGCAGGAGGATCTCTGTGAGTTTGAGGCCAGCTTGATCTATACAGGGAGTTTCAGGACAGTCAGGGCTACACAGAGAAACCCTATCCCAGAAAAAAAGAAAAGTGACTTATGCATCAAGCTATGTGGTGAGGTAGAGATGGGAAAAGGTAAGGAGGAGGCAGGCCTGGGCATGTGGAGGAGACTTAGCGCTTAGCGGAGGCTGTGAAACCTCATTTTTTTTTTAAGATTTACTTATGTATGAGTGCTCTATCTGCATGTACACCTTTACGCCAGAAGAGGGCACCAGATCTTATTATAGATGGTTGTGAGCCACCGTGCAGGGTTGCTGCAAATTGTACTCCTGTCTGTGGAGGAGCAACCATTGATCTTAATCACTGAGCCATCATCATCTCTCCAGTCCAGAAACCTGATCTTCAGTCCAAGCTCAACGGAGTCACTGGAACACTGATGACTTTATGTGTGTGTGTGTGTTTTACTTTTGTGATAGGCTCTCAGGTAGCCCAGGCTGGCCTCGAACTCTGCCACCCAGAACACTGTGATCACAGACCCATCATAGTGCCCGGCTGCCTCTGTAGGTTTTAGTAAAGACCCCGGCTGCAGAAAAGCAAAGTCACACTACAGAGACTACTGTGAAAGACCACGCAGAAGCAGCAACAGGAAAAGAGCACCTCATAGAGGAGCTGCAGAGAAGACAAACTATCGCTCACCCGTTCACTTTAAATAACGGGCTTGCAGGGCGTGGTGCAATACACGCCTTTAATCCCAGCCCTCAAGAGACAGATGCAAGCAGATCTCTAAATTCCAAGCCATCGTCAGGAGTCTGGTCCATGCCAGGCCCCAACCTCACTGATTTCTACAGATTGTGAATTCTACACTGGCCCGGGGTTAGAACTAGTAGCCGAGACTCTTTACAGGTGAGATACAAAAGGCCCAAGAGGCTAACGGGCCCGTCCTGCACCGAGGCTGGAGTCAAGTGGGCAGTACTGGCCTCGCAGCTAGGAGCAGGGAGACAGTAGGTGGGAGTTGTAAGGATTTGGGGTGGCCGCTGGAGGGGAGGAGAGAGGGGGGACGCAGGCCCACCTTGTAGTATCTGTTGGTCGTGTTGTTCTGGAAGAGGGTGATGCATTTGCAATCTAGACGCCAGTAGTGCCGCTTCCTCTGTCAGAGAGTCACGGCAGGGTGAGATTGACAGCGGGTGGTTTGCAATACCCAGCCTAGCTCCTCCCCTAGCTGGGACTCTGGTCCGACTTGGCCTCACCCACCCTGCTCTGTACATCCTGCCGGGTCTCCTTCCGCTAACAGATCCTCGGTTCTAGCCCTGCTTGCGGAACCCCAGTTCCTAGACCCAACTTAACCTGGACTTTCCCAGCCCTCCCCTCCCTCTCTAACCCCGCCCACCCGGCCACCGAGTACTCCATCTGCTCAAGCTTTTTCAACAAACCTTTGCATCTAGTCACACCCAACCGGCCTCATCTACCCACTTTCCTGCCGTCCTACCCCCAAAATTCTGGCCACGCCCACCAACACACCCACCCATAATTCTGGCCACACCCACAGAGAGATAATGCCCATACAGGCTTCAAGGACCCCCGCCCCCCCCCCCCCCCCGCCAACTCAACTTCTTCCAGCCCACCAGAAGTTTATCCACACCCACTTGTCCCCACCCTCCCGGAGTAGCCACGCCCACCCCCCCTCAACTCACCAGCGTGTCCTTGTTGCTGTAATGGACCACCCAGCCCTCACGCAGAGTGGTGCTCGATTTCCTGGTCGTGTGTCGCACAGACTGGACCACCCGCATCAGAGGTATATATCCCTGTGAGCTGCGGGAAATGGGCCAGAGGTTACATGTCACAGGTCCTGCCTTGCAGACGTACACGGAGGCAGGATGCTGTATTCATAATAAATAAATAAATAAATCTAAAAAATAAAATAAGCATATATATCTGTCTTTTTTGTTATATGTATGAATGTTTTGCTTGCACAGAGTGGTGCCTGAAAGAGTCTGAAGAGGACTTCAAGCAGGAATTACAGATGGTTGTGAGCTGCCATTGTGGGTGCTGGGAACTGCACCCAGGTCCTCTGGAAGAGCAGCCAGTGCTCTTGGCCGCTGAGCCTTCTCTCCAGTCCCTGGCTTTGCCTTCTGAGATAGTTTCATGCATCCTGGGTTAATACCAGTCTTCCTGCCCCAGCCTCCTGAGTACTGTACTAGAGGTGTACTCGGCCACATTTCCTTTACACAGAGCAGGGGTCACCCAGGACTTCCTGCTGGCTAGGCAAGCACTCTGTGCCTAACTGAGCCACATCCCCAGCAGGCCAGGTGACTCTTGAGATGGACAGCTTACAAAGCGAGCGAGAGGTTTAGGCTTTGGCCTGGAGGAGGAGCATGTGACTACCACGCAAAAGACTCTGGGTCCCAGCCCCAACACTACAATACTACAAAATCAGGCTGCCTAGCAAGTACCTAGCGACTCGGTACCTCAGTCCCCAGCCTTCGGAGGAGCTTGGCACAGAGCCCAACTTTCGGAGGACCTCAAGTGAGTGCTAGCTGGCAATGACAGCTCCGAAACCCCGCCTCCCCTGACTTGACAGCTCTGAAACCCCGCCTCCCCTGACTTGACAGCTCTGAAACCCCGCCTCCCCTGACTTGACAGCTCTGAAACCCCGCCTCCCCTGACTTGACAGCTCCGAAGCCCCGCCTCCCCTGACTTGACAGCTCCGAAGCCCCGCCTCCCCTGATTTGACAGCTCTGAAACCCCGCCTCCCCTGACTTGACAGCTCCGAAGCCCCGCCTCCCCTGACTTGACAGCTCCGAAGCCCCGCCTCCCCTGACTTGACAGCTCTGAAACCCCGCCTCCCCTGACTTGACAGCTCCAAAGCCCCGCCTCACCTGACTTGAGGCTCCAAAGCCCCGCCTCACCTGACTTGAGGCTCCAAAGCCCCGCCTCACCTGACTTGAGGTTCCAAAGCCCTGCCTCCCCTTCTATTGCTGAACCAGCCATCTTTCTTGGACTCTAGACCAACCAAACAGGCATGATTCTCTCTTTTCTACCTAACCCCTCAGGGCAGCGGCTGAGATCTACAGTCTGCTGGTGTTGCTTTTCTTTCAAACACTAATATATTGTCCCTGAACTTTAAAAAGAGAGAAAACAAAATATTTTAAATGGTCAAGGAAGAGGCCAGCAACGGTGGCCAGCAACGGTGGCGCACATCTTTGATCCCAGCAGTCAGGGAGGCAGAGGGAGGTGGATCTCTGAGTTTTGAGGCTAGCCTGGTCTACAGAGTGAGTTCCAGAATAGCCAGAGCTACACAGAGGGAAACCCTGTCTTGAAATCCCCACCCAAAACCCAACCCCTCCCCCCAAAAAAGTAAATATCGTTTCGTTGTCCTGAAACTCGCTCTGTAGACCAGGCTGCCCTCAAACTCACAGAGATCCTCCTGCCTCTGCCTCCCAAGTGCTGGGATTAAATGCATGCGCCACCACTACCTGGCTAAAAAGAAAAGAAGAAAGAGGATACAAAGATAAAAAGCCGGGGCTCCAGGATTGAGAACACACTAACACCAGCCCATCTTAGAGACGGGGGAGCCCCTCCTGAAGGGGCCCTGGGTACCTCTGGGCCTTGTCTCCCTCGCCTTCCTCCTCCTCGCTGGCATGGAGAGCACTCTCTGAGTGCGAGCCCGGGATGACACCAGAGTCGTCCAAGTCATCGGAGACGGAGCTTTTGTCGGCCTCGCTGTAGTCGGCGGCCTCCTCCATGGGCACATCTGCGGGGACAGGGGCGTCAGAAGGGTCCCCATGCAGCCCCACCCTGTCCCTTTTCAATGCCAAGGGTCTTACCTCCATTGATGAGCGCCTCCCCCAGGCAGTCGTTAGGGACACGGGTAGCACACCGTTTGTGACAGTTAAATTTGCAGTCTGCAGGGACAGGGGATGAAGGGGTGGTCAGGAAAGGACATTGTTACTGTGTGTGTGTGTGTGTGTGTGTGAGAGAGAGAGAGAGAGAGAGAGAAGGCTGGCTAGCATCTAATTCCTGACAACCCTTCTGCCTCAGCCTCAACATTATAAAGACTGAGGAGATGGTCCCACAGGTAAGAGTACGGTATACATTTCGTTTGTTTTTGTTTTGAGACAGGGTCTTTTGGTAGTCCAGACTAGCGTAGAACCTGCTGTGTAGCCAAGCATGATTCTCTTATCTCCAACTGCCAGGTGCTGGGTTTACAGGCATGGGCCATCAGATCAAACTTTTTTTTACCTGTTCTTCAAGACAGGATTCCTTTGTGTAGCCCTGGCTATCCTGGAACTCGCTCTGTAGACCAGGCTGGCCTCGAACTCACGGAGATCCGCCTGCCTCTGCCTCCTAAGTGCTGGGATTAAAGGCGTGCGCCACCAATGCTAGAAGTCTTGAATATATATCTGAATATATATTTGGTCTTGCCAGACAAGGGTTTTTCTGTGTAACCGCCCTGGCTGGCCTCGAACTCACAGAGATCTGCCTGCCTCTGCCTCCAAAGCTCTGGGAATAAAAGCATGTGCTACCATTGCCCGCGGGGCTCCAGAAGTCTTGAATCTTCTGCTCCTAAAGCTCCCTGACTCTCAGATTCCTGGGTCTTATAGTGAGAATTCTATCCCGTTCTAGGAATCTAGATTCCCAAGGGTTTAGGGTTCTAGAACTCCCGAGGCCTCCAGGATGGCCTGGATTCAGGACATGGGTCTGAGATGCCGGGTTCCTCTCTGGGGGTGGGTTCAGACCCACAGTCTTCCTAGCTGGTCCTACTGACCTTTGCACTGCAGGCCCTGGCGGAATAGACCCTTGAGTAGCTTCTTGCAGGCCTGGCAAACGGTGGGCCGTGTGTAGCTGTGTATAAGGAAGGTGTGCGGCACCTTGACCTTGGACATCAGCATCTTGTCCAGCTCAATGGGACGGCCTGTGTAGAAGGAAGAGGAAGAGGAGGAGGACGACGACGAGGGTGGTCGGCGAGGAAGGAGGTCGGTGGTGCTACGGCTCTACCCAGCAGCGAGGGTGGAAGGAACGATGAGTTAATTAGCAGCTGCGTGGCCCCTTCAGCCCCCAGCCTCCAACCCTCGCCATTCTCCGGCCCCTCACCAGCTCCTCAGCGGTGCAGGGTAGGGATTCGGAGCTTCCGAGGCGTACGGAATGGCCACTGGCCAGAGACGTGGATGACAGGCGGCGCTTGCGAGCACCGCTGCAGTTGTTAGGGATGCTGAAGGCGCAGCGTTTGTGGTAATTCAGCCCGCAGCCTGTAGAGGGCGCAAGACCATCAGAGCCAAAACCTGCATTCACTACCAGGCATGCTCTCACCCCCCCTCCGCCCCCCTACAAACAGCCCTGTTACTGTCCTGTCCTCCACAGCAAACACGGATGGGGCACCCCAAGACTCAGTGCTCACGTTCACATCCTGTTGATTCTAGCCTGATTGATGTACGCGCCTGATTTTCACTACAAAGCGTTGAGATTCTCAGCCCATAGAATTCAGCCTGTGACACCTGCGATCCCAGACAGGCCGTCCTAGGACTGCGGAGCTGCCTGGCCCGCCTCGAAGTCCTTCAGGCCAGTTCCTCCTGATAAACCGTGACTATTTCTCTCTCTCTGTTCTGTCTCTTTGCTTGGCCCCTGACTGACACGAGCTCGTTCTTCCATCACCCGAGAGATGGCTCAGTCGTTACAGCATTTGTTACTCTTGTAGAAGAGCACTCGGGTTCAGTTCCCAAACCCATGCATGTGGTGTAACAGAAATGTATTCAGGCCGGGCGTTGGTGGCGCACGCCTTTAATCCCCGCACTCGGGAGGCAGAGGCAGGTGGATCTCTGTGAGTTCGAGACCAGCCTGTACTACCAGGCGAGTTCTAGGACAGCCTCCAAAGCCACAGAGAAACCCTGTCTCGAAAAACCAAAAAAAAAAAAAAAAAGAAAAAAAAAAAAAAAAGAAAATGTATTCAGGCAAAACACCCATGCATATAACATAGAACTAAATAAGTTAAAAAAAAAACACCTCCAAGTGCTTGCTCTGGGAGCCCCATTTGCTTTTTATGCCCTATCCCCAGACCTGAACTCAGATTCCTTCCCTACTTTATCTAGGAACCCCTAAGTTCGGTTACCAAGGATCATCTCCTAAACTCTGCACCCATTCCAGAGTCCGGGGCCCAGGCCCCTCCCCATTCTCCAGAGTTGGCCCTGGAGCCCTAACCGAGCCCACCAGCCCCACATCCCGGGCTCCGTCCACAGACTTTAATCCCACTGCTCTCCCAAACTTTCCCTCAGGGAGTTTTTCACCTCACCTACCTTCTAAGCTGCATCTCCAGACCCGAGCCCAGTCCCAGCCCCAGGCTTCCCAGTCGCCTGGGCCCTTGCTGCTCACCGTCACACTTGAGGCCCTGGCGCACGAGACCGAAGAGCATCTCTCCGCAGTGGTCGCAGAAGGCGGGAGCGCGGTACGAGTGTACAGTGAGAGCGTGTGGACGGATCTGGAAGTCCTCGAAGGTGGCTGAGGCTGTAGGCAGCAAGGAGGGCACACACTTGAGCCAGGACTACAGAGCGAGTTCTAGGACAGCTAGGACTAACACAGAGAAATTTGGCCTCAAAAGACAAAGAAATTCCAGCTCCCCACTAGGCAAAACACACGCCTCCTGATAGGAGGGAGTTAATGAGTTGTTTGGTGGGCAGAGTGCTTAATTTTTTTTTTCATTATTAAAACAGTCCTGAGTGCCGGGTGGTGGCGGCGCACGCCTTTAACCCCAGCACTCGGAGGCAGAGACGGGTGGATCTCTGTGTGTTCGAGGCCAACCTGGTCTACAGAATGAGTTCCAGGACAGCCAAAATCATTTGAGACCCTGTCCTGAAAGAATGAATAAATGAATGACTAACTAAATAAATAGAATGAAACAGTCCTGGGCCTGTGAGACAGCGCAGCAATTTTTCATTACTTGCTGCCAAACCTAGTGATCTGAGTCCAATACACAGGCCCCATTTGGTACATCAATTCCCAGAAGTTGTCACACACACACTAAATGTAAAACAGTTCCGGTGGGCTGAGGGTATAGCTCACTGGTGCAGTGCGTGGTGCCTCAAATGTGCAAGATTCTAGGTTCAATTCCTGCTACCACAAAGGAAGGGGCCGACTTTTTTGTTTTTGGTTTTTTGAGACAGGGTTTTTCTGTAGCTTTGGAACCTGTTCTGGAACTCACTCTATAAACTAGGCTGGCCTGGAACTCACAGAGAATCACTTCCTGAGCATTGGGGTTAAAGGAATGTGCCACTACCACCTGGATGATGGTACACATCGTTAGTCCCAGTATTCCAGAGTCAGAGGTAGGAGCTCTGTAAGTTCCAGGCCATCCAGGGCTACACGGTAAGGCCTTATCTCAAATAAATAAGTTAATTAATTAATAAATATAAATTAGCGAATTGGTTTCCCCAAGACTTCTAAGAGGCACATCTCTTTTTATGATTTGTTGACTTGATGTTTTTATATGTACAGTGATTTGCCAGCATATAGGCCTGTGCCTGTGGAGGTCAGGGGGGGTGGGTGGGGGGGGCCAGATCCCTTGGGACTGGAGCTCCAGACGATTTGTGGGAGAACAAACGGTCTTGACTAACACCGAGCCCACTGTGCAACCCATGTCTCACTCTTTGACCCAAGCTGACGTTAAACCTGCGGCACTGCTGCCAACCGTGCCTCGGGAATGCTGGGACCACAGGTGAACCCCACCATGCTCACCCCAGCCACTTCTTCCCAGACGCCTGGCCCCTGTGCCCGAGACCCCACCCCCCGGGATGACCGGCGCTCCTCACCCGACAGAACCACCTCCACCAGGTCGCCCTCCTGGATATCCGCAGCTGATCGCACCAGCTGCAGGAGGTTGGCCGACGTGGGGTCATGTTTGAAGAGCAGGATCTTGTCGTACAGGCCATAGAAGCCACACTCTGGGAACTGACGGATGGAAGCGGGGTGTGGGAGAGGTGTGGGGACAGAAAAGCTCAGAGCAGCCTGCAGCAGCGGCAGCCTACTTGAACTCTCTAGGGGCAGAACCGGCTGTTTCCCCCGGAAACCGAGACCCTACAGCCCACCGCTTCCTGTCTGACCCCTCCCAACCCCAGCTCCAGCCTGCAGGATGGGGGGACAGGAGTGCTGAGTGGGGGGCACTGACCAGGGTCTGGTGGAGGAAGGGCTGAGGGTCGTCGGCCGGGGTGGGGGGGGCGGGGGAGTGAGGGGGGTGGAGTTAAAGTCTCCCGTGGCATAAAGGACACTTTGAATTTTCCAGAGCTGGCGAGACACTGAGTGATCACCCCCTCCTCTTTCCGCCACATCTCCACCCCAGCTTCCTTCCTGAACCTATTGTCCCTGTTACCTGGCTCTAAGCCCAGCACTGGGGCCGAATGAACTAGAAAGGAGGGGGGGGCTGGGGAGTTTTTTGGGGGGGAAGGTACTCAAGATAATCTGGAGGTAAGGAGGCCTCCCCTCATCCAAGGCTCCAAAGACCCAGGTGTGCTTTGGGAGGGGGCAGGAAATGAAACCCCGTGAAACAGAAAGTGAAACCGCCCAGGTGGGGCACCGGGAAGGAAGGCCGGCAGGAAGGGGCCCTGAATTACAGCACCTGTACCCCAGGAAGAGCAGAAAACAAACTAGGCTGGGTCTGAGAAGGGGAGGCTGGGGATCTGAACTCTCCTGCACCAAGTTTCACTCCAGGGACAATGTGCTGGAGCCCCCAGCCCTGCTTACCATAAAGCCCAGTAAGAGGTGGGCTGGAGCTGGTGGGCACAGCCTTGCCCCTCGTGGTGGCTTGATCTAGTTTCTTCTCTCTCTCTCTCTCTCTCTCTCTCTCTCTCTCTCTCTCTCTCTCTCTCTCTCTCTCTCTCCCTCTCCCTCTCCCTCTCCCTCTCCCTCTCCCTCTCCCTCTCCCTCTCCCTCTCCCTCTCCCTCCCTCCTCCTCTCCCTCCTCCTCTCCCTCTCCCTCTCTCTCTCTCCCCTAAACTAGCTTCACCGGCTGGAAAAAATGGGGGAGGAGGCCCTGTTCCTCCTGCTTCCCCAAAGTCCAAAGGATCCATTTCCAGGAGCCTGAAAAAAGCCTAAATCTGGATGTTTTTGGATCCCAGCATGCTCTCATTATAGAACTATCCATTCTGGGTTTCAACTGTTAACTGTCATATTACCAGTGTCATCTGGGATTCTTACGATGTAGCAACATGATAAACTTTTTGGGTTTTTGGTTTTTTTTTTTTTTTGGTTTTTCGAGACAAGGTTTCTCTGTGGCTTTGGAGGCTGTCCTGGAACTAGCTCTGTAGACCAGGCTGGTCTCGAACTCACAGAGATCCGCCTGCCTCTGCCTCCCGAGTGCTGGGATTAAAGGCGTGCGCTACCACCGCCTGGCTCAACATGATAAACTTAAGGTTCTAATACTTGAATGCCTTACTTAGTATGAAACGATTTCAATGTCCAGCTACTCAGGACTGAGAATTTCTCTCAGTTTCACAAGCAGACACTTAACTTCACACAAGCATTCCCCCACCTCGGGATATGGGTGGGGAGGAACGGAACCCAGAACTTTTGCTTGGTAGGCCTGGTCATAACTTTTGTTTGTTTGTTTTCTGAGACGGTTTCTCTGTGTAGCCCTGGCTGTCCTGGAACTCGCTCAGTAGACCAGGTTGGCCTCTAACTAACAGAGATCCTCCTGCCTCTGCCTCCTTACATGCTGGGATTAAAGGCGTGCGCCACTACCACCTGGCCTGGTTGTAAGTTTTAACGTTCCTAGGATTTGGGCGTCTAGTTCCACATGGTTCCCTCTTGCCATGACACTCAAGGGAGGAACCTTGCTATCTAAAGCTAAGGGTACCATAGGGAAACTGATTAGGAGAGCAGGAAGGGTCTGCAGGGCTTTTGGGGGTGCCGAGAGGATACACCTGGAGTGCCTTGCTCCTTTACACCCCATCTTAGGCCTGGGAAAGGGCAGAGATTGCACCCCATCCTAGGCCTGGGAAAGGGCAGAGATTGCACCCCAAGAAAGACCTTGTTTGCCCCCGGCAGCTCGTCCACACACCCACACATGTCACCCGATCACCATGGCCAGTAAGGCTTCAGTTTCTACTGTTTCCAAAGAACGGGAGCCCACGGTGGGACCATAAGGAGAGGTCCCCCTGATCCGGGGCTCCCGTTTGCCCCTTCTTCCCACCGCACACCTGGCAGGCCCCTCCCTTCGTTTCTGCCCGCTGCAGAAAACAACAAGCAGCAACACGCAATTTGGGGAGGCCTCTGGGGCACCCCACCCCTACCCGGGCCTCTCTCAAACCGGAGGTGGAGTAAGGACACAACTGGGGAGCAGTGCCCCTCCTCGGCTCAGTTACCTAAGCTCCCCCTCCTCCCGAGAAGCCCCAGGCCCGCTCCGAAGCCGCCGCATCCCTGTGAGGAAAGCCCCTTATGCCCTCACCTTCTGGTCCACGATAGAACAGGCTAGTTGCTTCACATGCGCCAACTCGGAGGCGGCCGGCAACAGCACGAACTCTCGGGTCAATCCGATCTGGATGTGAAAGGAGACCCCGGAGGCCGGGGTCGGGATCTGAGGCAGCAGAGGTGGCGGTGACTGGAGATCCAAGCCACCGAGGGGTGGAGGAGACCCGGGCCCGGGAGAGCCCGGGAGTCCGGCGGGATGGGAGGGGGCGGCGGCCATGGGAGCCAGACCCGGACCTGCCGCCCGGAGCTCCCCGAGGAACCTAGGACCTAGATCCGGGAGCTCTCGTGCGGTGGTGGTAAGAACGCTGGCATTTGAGAGAGAGATCTGTCAGGTTGAGGGACTGGAGGATGGCGGGATCCTGGGCAATGAGAGAAAAGGAATCTAGTGGGTCAAACGCCGGGGAATCCTGTGGGAGCACAGATCAGAAAGAAAAGTTGTGGTTTGGAGGAGGGTACCCGGAGATTGCAAGATTGCAAGAAACCAGAAAAGAAAACCGGGAAGGGCGAGGTCCCTGGAATTGAGACCCCCCCCCCCCCACGATCCGAGGCCCCTGGGAGAAAGAAAGAAAGAAGGCCGAGAGCGGAGCAGGGGGACCCCAGGATGCAGCAGCTTTGACGGCACGAGGATGCCTCGCGGGTAGAAAGCAGGAATCTTTGGCCAGAGACCTAGTGGGTCGTAGAGACCCGACTGGCTCGGGGATGGAGAGAGAGGGGTCCCCAGGGCCAGCGCTGAGAGAACAGGCTCTCACAGGTCGCGAAAGTTGGAGGAAAGTTGGGCCAGGGGCGGCGGAGAAGGGCGCGTTACCGGAGGCGGGGCGGGCGGGGGGCAAGGGAGGGTCGCACAGCGCGGTGGCTCTTCCCCCCCCCCCTTCAAAGTTTAAGTCGGCGGCAGCGGCCCAGAAGGAAGTCTGGGGAACGATGGCGCAGCCGGCCAATCAACACGGAGCTCCGTGACGTTACAGGGCGGAGCCTCTACCGAGGGGCCTGGGGCGGAAGGGGAAGGCGGGACCCGGCACCGGGGAGTCGGGGGTAGGGTGGGGGGAAGAGACGAGACAGGGGGCGATGTGGTGACCCGAGTGGGAGGAGGGCGGAAGGGTCAGCGCTTCCTCCGCACGCTCCCCCCAGTCTGAAAAGTTAACTTCTCGCTGCAGTCGACCGCGGCGGGCGGGGTAGGCGCTGGCTAGGTCGTTCAAAGAGGGAGCTGTCAGACTGGCCCGCATCCGGCGCTCACCCGAGGGAAAGGGTCGGAAATCCGTGTCAAGACCGATGGCTTTCCAGCTCTTGGTCCCATCTCCCCGGCCACACGCCCTCAGCTCAACATCAGGTGGGGAGTCGAGGCCTCAGGATGCAAAGGAGAAGCTTAGCCTCGGGTCTGTAACACTCCGGGGAGTTGAGGGGTACGGAGCCTGAACCCCCAACCAAAGGCGTGCCAATGGGCAGCACCGCTTCATAGACCTCACAGGAGAGCAGGCGCCTACACCTTTCTGGCTGTGTGACTTGAGGTAGGGGCGTCCCCTCTGTGAGCCTTAGTTTCTGTCATGAGGCTGTATTCGGGAGATGGAATACGGGTGCCTGAACACAGCTAAATTCCAGTTGATGAGGCTGCCCTTAAACTTTGCAGAGAAATGGGGGGCACCACCCTCGGGGGCTTCTGGCTGGTTCGTGGGTATAGGCACTTGCTGCCAAGCTCACTGTGTCCTGGAGACACATCAAAGGAGAAGCAGCTGGGTTGACCTCTGACCTCCACCCTTCCCCGAAATAAAATAGTAACAGTATGAGGAAATCTAAAAGGTATCATCTACTGAGAGCCTTTGAGCGAGGCCTGTGTAATTGATGCCAACTCCGTCAGGAGCCATTCTGACTTCTGCCTAATAAGCAGGCAGAGGCTACCAGCTAGTCTTCACATCCAGGAAGCTGTAGAGCGGCGACTTGTCCACAAGAGCCCCCCTGACCGTTCGTGCTGCTGCTGGGGCAGCTGAGGTCGGTACAGTGTGGCTGTCACCACATCCGGGGGGCAGGGGCTGGGGAAGGAAGTCTGAGGCTGGAGTGAAAACCCAAACTACCACCTGGGGAAGCTGCAAAGAGCCCAGAGGCATGGGGGAGGCATGGCCACGTGGAGCTCACAGCCTAGCCACTTGAGTCACCTAAGGAAAAAAAGCACATGCCCACCTGCACCTTCTAGATGGGCACGCCCCCTGCCTGGTCACTTGCCTACCCCATGACCCCTGTGGAGGGGCTGGGAGGTGGGGCTGGGGGCGAGCTGTGCCTGCAGGCTGGAGTCAGCCTGAGAGACCCCACTCTCTTCCTCTGTAGCATGGACTCCCAGCTCTACCCCACTGAGGCTATAAAGATGGTGTGAAAACGAAGGCCTAACCCCTACAAAGTGACATTAAACACAGGAGAGGGGCCCCTGCACCAGGACTAGGTGCCTGCATGTCCTCCACAGACTGGCTTACCAACTCCCTTCCCTCTCTGTGGGTCCAGGAGTGGGCACGGGGCAGGACAGGGGATGTAGTTTTCAGCTTCTGAGCAGGCAGGGGTCTTCAACTAAATCGTTTATTGCCACAGCACAGCGCGTGTTCATCAGTTTACTGCCCCGGGAAGGTATGTTAGTGACAGAAAGAGGGGCTCACAGAGATCTGGTCCTGTGTGCCTGCTCTGCCGTTCCACTGACATGACACCCAGCTCTACCCCCAGCCCGTTCCAACACACAACACAAATCCCTCATGTCTCCCTCTCCCCAGACTCCACTCAGCCAAGGCAGAGGGATCGAGCCTCCCCAGAGTTCCCTATCCCCTTGACAGATGGCCTGGGGAACTATCTTACTCCAAAGGGTTTATTGAGACAGTTTTTTCACGTACAAGTTGGGGGCAAAAGGGATGGGGCTTATAAACAGGAACCTCAAGGGGGAACCAAGGGCACAAGGTGAGACCCAAACGAAGAGTGAAATAAATAGAGGCAAGTGTGGAGCTGGGAGGAGATGGACAGACTATCACACAGTGATAACGTGGGGTGGGCGCCATGAAAATCCCGTTCCTTTACACAGACAGACAACAAGCTAGGGGCCCAGGGCCCACTCCACCCTCTCCATCTCAAGGAGGGCCTGTGTCTGGGAGAGCCCCAGAGGAGTGGAGGCCCTCCCCAGGAAGGCCTGGCCCTAGAGGCCTGGTTAGTGTTGGAAAGCAGGAGGAAGGGACTGAGGTCCACACAGGAGGGCCACAGGAGACCCCCTCAGCGCAGTCCTTCATCTGACGGGTGAGGGAGGGGTGGCACTCTAGAGTGGAGCCTGGCACCTTCTATCGTCTTGGAAAAAACAGATCCCCAAGGACACCCAGCCCTGGCTGTGCCCAACTCTGGAGGACAGCTTTATCAGGAGTTAGTGCTGGGGCATGAGCAGAAACTCCAGAGGCCATCCTTGAGGGGCGATTCCTGGGGAAAGGGCCATTAGCACCACCAGGCTCCAGGAAGATGCAAGAGGCCGAGACTCTGAGCCTCTCGGGAGGCCGGGGGCTGCCTGCAGAGACAGAGGGAAAGCGGTTGGTTAGGATAGAGTCCCACTCTAACCCTATCCCTCGAGTGGGTCATGGAGGAGGGGGTATCTTCTGGGGCAAGGACACTGGGTTTCTGCATTCCTACCTAGACCATAACTGGCCTCCAGCCCTTACCTCAGCCCCACTGGCCTGGCCCCGCTCTCTGCCACTGTGTAGCCAGGGCGAGGCCAGGTGGGATCATACGAAGACCTTGGCTAGAGCGTCAGCACCAGCGCTGGCGATCAGTGCCTTGCTGGGGTGGCAGGCCACTGCATGGATGGCCTCCTCGTGCTTCTTGCGGTGCGCCGTGATCTCCTGGACACAGGTCTTGTTGTCTAGGCTCCATAAGCGCAGAGAACAGTCATGGCCTGCACAGAAGAGGAGGCTGTTACCAAGCTTGAGCTCAGACCTCTTGTGAAGGCCTTGGGGCAGAGGCAGCTCAACCCTGTTCCTCCCATGGCTCTGCGGTCAGCCGTTCTGCTATCCTGTGTGAGAACCCTGGGAGGAAGGGTGCACACAGACAGACAGACAGACAGACAGACAGACCTCGGCCTACAGGGAGGCTGCGCGCACCAACAGCTCCAAGTGGTGGGGCGTGGCTCAGAGGCTGTACACTGGCCTGGTCCGCCCAAGGCCCTGGGTTCTATCCCCAGCACAGCAAGCAAACAGCAGACACTAGCCCCAGGTGACGGGCGAAAAGACATTGGCTTAAGGAAGGGAAGCCTTCCAGGTACAGGGATGGCCAAGGAGGGTCCGGGACAAGCAGCCAATGAGGGCTGATGACCGCAGGGACTTGAGGGTGGATATGCCGGGCACGAGAGGGCACGGCGAGCCCGAGGCTCTGCTCCTCAAGTCAGTCCAGCGCCAGGGACTCAGCCCAGAAGCAGCGCCTCAGATCTTAGCTAGTCTGTGCCAGGACTGGGTCTCATTCCACCGGCAGGGGACGGGCGGTCTGGGTGCAGCTGCTCAGCCAGTGCATGGTAACATCAGGCCCAGTGGGCTGCGATCTGCTCACAGCCCCCAACACCGCTTGCACATCTGCAAGCGCATTCGCACACTCAGTGCAGCTGGCTCTGCTGTGAGAGACCTGTCTACCCATTGTAGAGTAGACAGCTGCTGAGTCTGACCTCATCTGAGAGCAGAGAGGGACCCGGAGCTTAAACTCTGGGGGATCTGGGTCCACCACCACATACCTCAACACAAGGACAAACCCCAGGCAGGGCTACCAAGCACACTCAATGAGGCCGAGGCAGGAGTTTCCAGTACACGCAAGAGTGGAGCCGCCTGCCATGGCTGCAGCCCCTTCTCCTTGCTTCTAACCCTCCCGACGAAGGGGCAGCAAGAGGGGCCCAACTTACTTCCTGACATCAAGAACACGCCATTGGGATCCACGGCTAGGCAGGTCACTGCGTCCAGGTGGGCGACCATGGAGTGCACGGATTTACCTGGGAGTGGGAACAGAGAGTGGCTGGAAGTGGCCTCCCACGACAAGCCGGCTCTGGCAGACAGTCTGGATGTGCTCTCCCCGTGTGCCCCACCTCCTGCTCCCCAGCACAGTGAGGGGACAATGAGGCCGGGCCTCACCTGTCCGGTTGTCCAGGAATCGGATGCTCCTGTCGTCCTGCGCAGTGATGGTGAGGGGCTGATTTGGGTGACTCACCACCTGATTGATCTGTGTTGGGCCTGGAAGGTTAAGTGGGGAGAGGAAGGGGACTGAGGAGGAAGACAGGAGGCCTGGGACACAGGGAGGAGGGGCAGGCCACTTCTGCAATTGGGGACATGCTACCCAGCCCACTGTGTCAAGCTGGCTGGCCACCACTGAGCCTTGTTTCCTTCCTGCTTGTGGCCCCCTGAGGGCACATGGGCAACATTCTGATCTCACTGATGGCTAGGTCCCCAGAGCTACAGGAGGAACTGGGGTCCTATGGGAATTCAAACCCCAGTCCCATTGGCCTGCCTGGCCAAGGGCCCTCACCGCTGCTCCCTCGGGACTCCAATGTGAGCAGGGCGCTGCCGGCTTCCAAGTCATAAAGAACGGTGTCACCAGAACGAAAGGAGGCCACGACATGGGCAGGCTCCGTGCTGGTGAAGGCCACTGAGGTGGGGATCCCGTGTTCTGAGAGCACAGGGAAGAAAAGGCTACTCAAGGGGCCGGTCCTGCCCTGTGGCTGGGGCCTCCTCAGAAGCCACCCCGAAGCCTGGGCTCCGCATCCTGCTTCAGACACTGGGGTCAACACTCACCTTCAGACATGGGGAAGGTGCAGAGGCAGCTTGGACCGCTGCTGCTGGGGTCCCAGATGCGGACAGTGCCATCAGCGGAGCAGGAAGCTAG